ACAAGGCAAAAACAGACCAAACAAAACAAATGGGTGCTCAATTTGAACAGAGTCCGTTGAGTTTGTGAAGATTTCCAAAGCATTTTCCCAAAAGATGTGTCAAAATAAGATTTGTCAACAAAAATCAAAACATCATCTTTGAACAATACACAAGTGTTAATGTTGCAATTACAAAAAACCAAATGACCAGTAAAACTGTTTCTTTTACTCTCACTTAGAAAAGTGTGTTAAGTGTGTAAGTAAGGATTGGTCTCTTGCTGTGTCGGTGGCGTCAGACTGGTGTTAGACTGAAGCAGGGATGTGTATTGCTTAGGACAGGGAGTTCCTCCGTGTGGCACGTTCAGCGGCGTCGACGGCGTATGCAGCGCTAATGGCTGCAGGCTCGCATTAGTGTTGGTGGGGGAAGGGCTGCTTTACACACACCGCTGGAGGAGCTCTGATCTGTGAAGAAGAGCAGCTCTAAACACTGCTGGAAATGCCTCGCGTTTAACCTAGGAAAGTTTAATCCAGCTGCACCATTTTGCGGTGACAACTTGCGATTCTGAATTGTTTTTCAGATGATTAATTTCTAATTACATCTGAGATATAAAACCTGCTCATTCAGTTTTGTTTTGGTGGGAGGTATCTGATACGTTGTCCTACTTGGATATTGTATCTTTGAGGATTTTTTTAACCTGTTATACATAAAGAAAGGGAACTCTTTGTTTTAAGTACCAATTCTCATTGACTGGCTGCATATATTGAACGCTATTCACACTTTCAGGGTTTCTTCTCAGTAGCGCAAGTCGTCATATTTGGTGACCTTAGAGCGCAGTGAATAGGAGAGTACAGCAAAGATTTTATTTTTACAGTGTTGTTTGCTGAAATAATAAAATAAAAACTCCACAATGGTGTTAAGGCTTTCAGATAAAGGAAAACAGTAGTGTGGGACTGATAACGGCAGCCAAAAAGAGAACATCATCAAAATTACTGTCTGTCCTGCCCCATAAACGCTGCATTTCAAACACCTCGCACAAGCTGTAGTTTTTTGCAATTGGATGCAAAGATGATATATTTATAAATGCACAAATATACACAGGTTTCTTAAAAAAAAAAAAAAAAAAGATACCAATGACCTTTTAAACGAGTCATAACAGAGTTTCATAACGAGTTGTGAAAAGGCTCCAGTAAGATATTGGCTGTTTATTTGTACTTACAAAGCACATACTCTGCATGATCTTATTATATAGATCATTTTGAGGGATGTAATCAAAATAAAAAGTTTTTCCTGTTTTATATTTTTAATTTCTATAGCGCCCGAGAATCCCAAAAGAGCCACATATTGATAACGTTGTGATAGCTGTTTTAAAATTAAGTCATGATTGAATTGCCTCTCGTTACAGTTATGAAATAGTTTAAAAAACAAGCTGGTAATGTTCATGGGCCAATGGCATCAGCACAGTAAAATGGTCTATATGTCTGATCATAACTAATACCTAAAGGCTGATTTAGGGGCTGATCACACAGAACGCACTTTTCCTTTCAAAAAAACGCGAGGCGCCACCACACTGCCTTTTATTTTGTTGAAAAGAAAAAAACAAGGTTGGTGCGCTTTTTATGTATATAAACAACGGCTGAATCAGCTGTGTATTGTGCACAAATGTTGCTGTTGATATTGGTATAATTTTTATATTTAATAATATTGTGAAATTAAAGATTTACATTTAGTCATTTAGCAGGCGCTATTATCTAAAGTGACTTACAGATGAGGACAAGGAAGCAATTTACACAACTATAAGAGCAACAATGAATAAGTGCTTTAGGCAAGTTTCAGGTATGTAAAGTGTAAGACGCAAAGCCATTAGTAATAATGTTTTTTTTTTTAATGTTTTTAGTAGTACAGTTAGCGGTGGAGCCACAGAGGGAATTGCAGATTTGGAAGGAAAGTGAAGACTAAATAGTTGAGTTTTTAGTCGTTAAATTTGTGGGTCATGCAGCACCAGATAACTCAAAACAGCAACCACAAGTCTTCCATTTTCAAAAGCCTGTAGTTCTCTTAACAGCACAAACACTGCTGTCATCTAAACAGAAACCCCACCTCTGCTTTCCTTTGATCGGAGAATAAAAAAAAGACAACTTTTTTTTAACTGCCAGCACACATCACGCAACGAAAAAAACACAAGTCACAGCAAGTGGTTAAAGGCTGATTTATACTTCTGCGTCAAGCGCTCGCATGGGATACGTGGTGTTCAAGTGTTGAGTCCCGTGAAGGAGCTCTAGATGGAGACTGTTGTTTTATCTTTAGTTTATGATTAAAGTTGTTGCCCGTCTGCCGATTTCTGCCTTAAAATGAGCGAGTTTTAGCCACTTGCACATTAAGGTATTGTTCAGAAAAAATTAAAACACCAGCGAAGAAACTCGACACGCAGGTACATAAACGCTTACTGCTAGCAAGCGTTTCTTAAGTGTTATTGTAGAGCAACAGAAACAGCACGCAGAAGTATTAATGCACAGCCACGCACCTTGGATGCGCCGTGGGTCATGCTGATCACTTGAAGCAGGAGTATAAATCAGGCTTAAAATGTGAGGCATGGGGGCACATAAGCAGTGCGCAAACGCTTGCGGCTGTTAGCAAATCACTCAAAAAAGGTGCCTCAACGCAAAAAACGCATTCAGAGTGATCCGCCCCTTATACTTCTGCAGCGAGTGACCAACTTGACCCATGGCACATGCCTTGCGTGTAGTAGTGCATTTATTCTTCAGCGTGCTGTTTGTGTTGCTCTGCAATAACACTTCTGAAACACTAGCTGGCAGTAGGTTTTTATGCTCCTCTGTGTCGAGTTTCTTCTTGGATGTTTTGTTTTTTCTGAACATTACAAGTAGCTAAATTCAACCATTGCGCCAGACCATACGGGTGCGCTTAACGCAGAAGTATAAATCAGCCTTAACTCTAATTCACACTAGCAGCGACTTTGTAGCTGCCTGTCTCACTAGGTGGTGACCTGCTACAAACGCAGGTCTGTTTAGGTCAGGCGTGACCAACCCTGTTCCTAGCGATTGACCTTCTTGCAGATTTTAGTTGCATATCACCCACACACCTGCCTGTAATTATCCAGTGCTCCTCAGGTCCTAATTAATTGCTTCAGGTGTGTTTGATCCGGGTTGAAGCTGAACTTTGCTGGAAGGTTGATCTCCAGGAACAGGGTTGAGCACTGATGGTGTAGGTCAACAGCACAGAGAATACAATTGACCTCTGAGTGAGCTGAGAGAGGATCATGTGAGCTCTACTTGTGCTCCTATTGGCTGTCGCTAAAGAAAGTCGCTTTTCATTTGCATAAGGTTGAAGGATTCTCAACCTTGTCGCGTCGCTCGACATGCCCACCTGGTCGCCAATGGTCGCTGTCACTCGCGTAGAAGGAGGTCGTTGGAAGTCGCTCGCTCTTTGTTGAAATGAATGGTTGTTTGCTGCTTTGCTGCTGCGAGACTCTATTAATAAACTAATGCAATTTAGGAGTTTAAGTCATAGCCAGGGCCAGACGGAATCTGCGGACGTTTTTTGCTTTTTCTGTGGAGAATTTTGGTAAAAATCTGCAGATTTCTGCGGAATTATTTTGGGAGTATCCAGTGGAGTTTCATAACTAAAACCTTAATATACGAAATAAAAAAGTAATGATTTACTGAATAAAACTGAATAAATTTAAATTTACACATTTAATCAAGTAAATAAACAGAATTAATGATGGGATAAAAATCTGCGGAATTCTGCGCGCGCAGATCCCGTGTGGGCCTAATCATAGCTAATGGTTTGTTAAAGGGTCTCGGAACACCAAAACACATTTTTGAGCTGTTGACAGCCATATATGTGTCCCACGCTGCTAAAAACACTATTAGGACACACATATTCCAGAAAAAGTGAAAATAGGTTGTTTTTGCGTCACTTTGAGCAAATTCGTTTTGTCGTTTGTTTAAACAAGTTTTTGAAGCTATGTCACACCGATTAGATCCTTGCGTGTGTTCCAGCGTGGAGACTGGCTGTTTGTATCTAAGAGTACTTTGCGACGTCTCTGAGTGTGCTGCATTCATTCATGAGAGATTTTGTTTAAACCAATCAGCGCGCTCTATTGTGTGCGGTGCAGCTTCATTAAAATGCGTGATAGTTTCGAAGACTGTTTTACCTGAAACAGTGTTCAGAAGGCAGAGAGACGACATGTTGTGTTGCCAAAACAAGTGGGAAAACAAGAATTGTTTGGAGATACGGGTCATTAGTGTTGCGTTTTTAAATGTGCTACAACTAAAGCCCCAGTCAGATCACATTGTCGGTTACGAAAGTCACTTTGTCAGATCATGCGAAATTCTTTTTTTAAATTAAATTATTTTTTTTCCTCTTGATAAAATCTTGACTTGATGTAATATAAATATATAGTTTTATAATAGTTATTAAATTCGTAAAGATTCTTATTTTGATATATAAAAACCATGCAATTAATTTTAGCCTTTCTATTGGTCTGAAGTTAGAAAAAATAAACTCTTAAAAATGTTTTCAGGGATTGAATTTAAAGTCAATTAGAAAAATCGAAAATCTGTATTTTAAATTTGAACTATTTTCTCAAATGTGCTATTTTTAGTCTGATAAGCACGACATTGGTGAGCATAAAAAACTTTTAAAAAACTTTGCTGTATATTATCTGACTGTTGAAATGTTATCATCAATGCATTTGTAATCAGCTGTTTTATGAAGAGCAGACACTCTTCGGTTTTTGTTTTTAAACTGTTCTGCATTTAAAGGCAAGACACGATCACTACTCATCTGTGAGCAGACGGCAGTCACTGAGCAGCTGATGACAGTATCTTTTAGTACACTCTTTGACCTATGGATGATTGGCTACACTCGTACATGCAACACACCCTGACTCCTCTCTATGAATCTAAACTGAAATGCTCAAGCTGATTCTAGCCTTTAGCTAAATCAAATGAGAACTATTAAGCTTTATTTATGTTGATTTATTTATTTGTGTTTATAGATGGGGCTTGCAACAGCTAATGGTCCTTTCGGGCAGCAGTACGTACAGGGTTCGGTTCAGCAGATGTCCAACGCTGGATTAAACGCTCAGATGCAGAACAAGGCAGCTCTTCCTAACAGCCTCCAGCCCACCCTGAAGGGTGCTTCCAGCGTGCCAAATCTGGTGAGTATAAACCCTCCACAGCTGGCTCAGGTTCAGTCCACAGCACTCTCAGCCTCTACGTCACACGTCCATTCAGTAGCCATTTATTCATTCACTGAGCTAATTTAGGGGCACGTTTGTGTCCCTGTGTGGGTAAACTGGCTGAATGAAGTCTAAAATTAAAAAGTGTCCTCGTTTTTATGTGCTGCAGGTTCTTTTTTTATCATTACTTTTACTCTGATATGATTTTTTTATTCTGAGGGATCATGTGATGCTGTAGACTGGGGTTATGATGGTGAAAGTTCAGTTTTGTTATGACGTGAATAAATGATATTTTATATTGCTTAAGGATGAAAAAATCTAAGTATATATTCAGATTTTTAATGTTTATTGATAACTTTTTAAATAGATTTTTCACTTTTTAAAACATCTTAACCCTTGTGTGCTGTTGAGGATATTTTAACCCACTCTGGGCTGATTTTGAGGCCCAATTTAGCCACAGCTTTCTCTGTCTTTCAGCAAATGAATTGATTTTTTGCCACAAACCCCTTTTTAACACCTATTTTGGGGAAAATGCTTTAATTTTCCAAAAAATACGCTCTGGGCAAAATGACTACACTTTTGTTATGTTTTTGGCTCTTTTTGCCCAATTGACTTCTGTTAGAAGGACATTTTTTTCTCATTCTAAAGCCTTGACAGCATATAATCGCACATTCTTGATTGTTGGTGGTTTTCCCTGTTGGTAAGAGGTACAATTCATCATTTTTACTGTTTATCATCTGTTGCAGTGCAAAAAAAAAAGCTTAGTTTCTGGCTTTTATACGTAGTCCTGTGTGTGTGTGTGTGTGATAGAGAGACGTTTGCACACTTACCTTGATATGTCTGAGAAAATCTAAATAAGCAGCTCTGCTTTTAGAGCACAGTAAACATAGTGTGTGATATTATGCACACAAACTATAATTTGCTGTTTTACTCTACAAAACTCCATATAAACTTTTTTGCACTGGCCTATCTAAAGGGTTAATGTTGCCAACTGAGGATCCACCAGGGCAGGGGTCACCAATCCTGGTCCTGGAGGGCCGGTGTCCCTGCAGGGTTTAGCTCCAATTTGCGTCAACACACCTGCCTGGATGTTTCAAGTATACCAAGTAAGAGCTTGATTAGCTTCTTCAGGTGTGTTTGATTAGGGTTGGAGCTAAACTCTGCTGGACACCGGCTTTCCAGGAACAAATTTGGTGACCGCTGCACCAGGGTATCCACAGGGTCTTAAAATGTCCTAATTTTTAAAAAACTAATTTTAGGCCTTAAAAATTCTTAAATTTACTTAAATATTGTGATGTAAGTCCTAAATTATTTTAAACAGGTTTTACTTTCCTATTTCCAAGTAAAGCTATCCAATTGGACCCACACCCAATCACCAGTAATCATCTCAAAACTTTTAGTTTTTTTGTGCAAAGAGATACAATTCACAACAGCTGTTAGACATTTTTACAGCAAATTATCCTGATATATAAGTGAAAGAAAACTAAAGCAAGAACTCCATTTAAAGTATCTTCTATTAATACAAAAAATATTTAAGAAAGTGAAAAATCTTTAGTATTTAGCCCTGAATAAGTCTAAAATTACATTTATGAATTATATATAGCCGCTGTCGTCACTGGCTTGCATGGTTTGGGACTTGTGGAGATGCGTATCAATGGATTTGCTCTTCAGTGGTTGGACTTTCAGCAGTGAATATTAAACTACTTTGAACTAAACTAAACTGAACAAAAACTCTGAAAACTGGACTGACACGGTTTCAGTTTGCTAGAACTTCTATGTTAAACTGCTTTGACACAATCTACATTGTAAAAGCGCTATAGAAATAAAGATCAATTTAATTGAATTTAATTTACTTTATAATGGTCATAAAAGGGTCTTAAAGTCTTAAATTTGACTTGAATAAACCTGCAGAAACCCTGTCAACAGTAAAAATGACAGATTGTACATCTTCCCAACAGGAAAAACCACTAACAATCAAGAATGCATGTTTATATGCTGGCAAGGCTTTGCAATCAAAAAATGTGGTTATAATGGAAGTCAATAGGGCAAAAACAGACACAAACATAATGAAAGGGTGGTCAATTTGAACAATACACAAGGTTTAAATGATTTATATTAGCCATTTAACCAGTAAAGCATTTATTTTGAGCTAAAGCCACACCACTTAAAAATAACAGATGATACTCATTTAACCATATTTCTTTTATAAAACTCTTGCATAATTTTTAGAAACTCTACAGTACTCCCTTAACTCTGTTTCGATTAAGGTGTAAAATAGACACTTAACACCTCTGTGGATAAAAATCACAGCTTTACAGCCTCTTGTGGCTTAATGCTTTTGTTTTAACCAACTGCAGAACGTTAAAAGATGCATTTCTTTAAATGAGGAAAGCAGAGCTTGTATGTAACCTGAAGTTGTTCCTCCAGCTGCAGCAGCAGGTGCCCTCTGTGGGCATGGTCCCGGGACAGGGAGTTTCGGCAGGCCCCACGGCCGACCCAGAGAAGCGCAAACTGATCCAGCAGCAGCTGGTCCTGCTGCTTCACGCCCACAAGTGCCAGCGGCGAGAGCAGGCCAACGGAGAGGTGCGCGCCTGCGCCCTGCCCCACTGCCGCACCATGAAGAACGTCCTCAACCACATGACCCACTGCCAGGCGGGAAAATCCTGCCAAGGTGAGAGGCAAAATAACACCCATTTTGTTAATGTATAATCAATTCCAGCCATTTTCCCCCCAAAGCTCTGAGTTTGATAGATATTGTAGTCTGTCATGTGTTGTCTGTGAGCGAGCAATTCCATGCAAATGTAACCCAACCATGAAAACAAACATTTTCACGAAAATAGTGCTTTCGAAGTTGTTTTAGCCAATTTAGAAAGCACTATAGTAGTGAAAACCTAATTTTTTTATAAAAAAAAAATAGTAATTTATTTAAACCCGTTCTTCCTTGTTTGTGTAGGCTTGTATTTTACTATGTGGTAAAAATACTCGGTCTTGTTGATGTTTTCATTTATGTGACTATTATATTTGATTTACCAAAGTCACACAAGAGCCAATTTCATATCGGTCACATCCGTAACAAAGCTTTTTCCTCATCAATACATAAATGTCAAATAATATAAAATAAATAACATCTGTTCTATAGAAAAACAACTCTTATTATTTTTAGTAGCGTTATTTCTTTTAGCATCTGCAGTTTTTCACTGAATTTCTGCAGGTTGTTTCGTTCACTGTAGTTATTTTTGGTCACATCCATAATGCATGTTTATTTTTCCTTTTAAAATATAATACAAAATATAAAATCGGGTTTACACAAAAAAATTTCAGATTGTTGTAGATTTGAATTTTCAGTATGTTTTATCAAGCAATTAAGTGCCTTGGTGTATTGATTTCCACATATTAATAGGTTATAAAGATGTTGCCATCAAAGGCTTGACCTAAAAATAAATCGTTTATTAAGAGTTAATATATATATATTAGGGATGGGAAGATTAACCGATATGTATCGATACGCGGTTATGCGCGTTCACGATGCGAGTGCATCGGTTGAGCAGCAGAGGATGAATGAAATTTTGGAAGCAAATCGAGATGCATCGGTTTTTGCGAGATGCATCGATTTTTCCGAGATACAGCTTATATTTTTAATATAGAATGTATTTTTTATTTATTAACAAGTGTTGTCAATCTGTTTTTGGCGCATAATTTAATCGACCTACATAAAGTAAGCCTTAGCAACGGATTTGCGGATGTGCACACACTACAACTCAGTGTATCAGGTGTGCGGATGAAGCTGGTGGTGCGCCCTCAGAAAGCGCGAGAAGCAAAACAAACATTTTATTCCCCACTGAGTTTTAAATCTAAAGTATGGCAACATTATGGATTTAAGGATGGACGACATGACAGGACAGATGCAATTTGCAAAATGTGCCGCGCATCTGTAAAATACGCGGGCAGTATGACTAATCTGATATCTCACTTGAAGCGGCGCCACGGTGTTGTTGTGAAAGCATCTTCCAGTGTTTCTGCATCCCCGGCTTTCGCACTGCTTCAACCAGCTCCAAAAGTGGTGAGAAAAGCATTGCAAGTTTTTTTTTCCATGCGCAACAGTTCTGCTCGCTCTACGCCAATAACGAATGCTATTGCATTGTTCATCTGCAAAGATATTCAGCCTAGTGTCACGGAGAACGAAGGTTTTAAACACCTCCTCCTGTTAATTTTTATTTAATTATAATAATAATAATACTAATAATAATAATGATAAAAATAATTGGGTGTCACAGTGGCACAGTGGGTAGTTTGACCACCTCACAGCAAGAAGATTGCTGGTTTGTTATATTTTTATTAGCCTGTTGTTTACAGTGACAGTGTTTCAAAGCAGCATAACACTGCTAGTTCACAACCTTAAGTTTTGAATAATCAGTGGCAAAATATATCTTTGTAAAACTTGTTTTCATAGTTGAAAAGTTAAATCACAATTCTTGTTGTGCAATGCTAAATTTATTTATGTTGAAAGAGTGCAAATATATATATATATTTAATATATAATATATATATAAATAAATAATATGTATATATATAAATAATATGTGCTATATGTTCTAAAATGGCCCTCTACTGTAAACTGACACTCTGGCTCTGAGAGAAAAGCCAGTTTGTAAAAAAAAGTCTTGGTTTTGCTTGGTTAATAAATAATCAAACTCATTCAATGGCACAGCATCCTCTTTCACATCATCTCATAAACTTGATCTAATTAGTTAGTGCTGAAATATCGCATCGTATCGTGATATGGGTGTGAATCGTATCGTGTTGCATCGCAATATGTCACAAATGTATCGCTAATATATCGGATCGTATTCTTTGTATCGAGATGCGTATCGGATCGGCATTATAGCTTAGATGCCCAACCCTAATATATATATATATATATATATATATATATATATATATATATATATATATATATATACGATAAAATAATGCATATATATACAGACACACACACTTGACAAAAGTCTTGTCGTCGATCCCAGTTGAAAGAGCAACAAATAATCACTTGACTTTTAGTTAATCATTTGGAAAAGTGTCAGAAGGTCGATTTATTTTTTTTATTTTTATTTTTTTTTATTTATTCTTTTTTTTTTTGAGGAATCATCTGTTGAACTGCATCCCAATCATCACAAATACTGCGGAAGACCTACTGGAACCCAAAGATTCTAACACAAATCAGTCAAGTTTGGTGAAGAAAAAAATCAGGGTTTGGGGTTACATTCAGTATAGGGCCGTGCGAGAGATCTGCAGAGCATCAAGACATTTGTTCTGCCCGATTACATTACAAACCACAGGAGAGGGCCAAGTCTTCAGCTGGATAGCGCTCCTTCTCATACTTCAGCCTCCACAGCAAAGTTCCTGAAAACAAAGAAAGTCAAAATGCTGCAGGATTGGCCAGCCCAGTCACCAGAGATAAACATTATTGATCATGTCTGGGGTAAGATGGAGGAGGCATTAAAGATGAATCCAAAGAGTTTTGATGAACTCTGAGAGTCCTGCAAAACGCTTTCTTTGCCATTCCAGATGACTTTATTAATAAGTGATTTGAGTCATTGCAGAGATGTATGGATGCAGTCCTCCAAACTCATGGGAGTCAGACACAATATTCATTCCGTTTCCACTGCAGCATGACTTTATATTCTATACTGGACATTATTTTCTGTTCAGTGACAAGACTTTTGTCTAAGCAAAGTCAGACCTTACTGTCCTAATAAAATCATTAAAAGTCAAGACATGATCAGATTTTATTGTGGTAGAGTAATGGTTATCTAGGGGACTTTGCCTTTCATATAAGCCACTTCTAATACCAAATAATCAACTAGAAGTCAGAGTTATTATGCATTTTCTGGGGATTCATATTTAAAGTTTTTACACTGGAACTGCTGGAGCTCTTCTGAGCACATGTCTCTCTCTTTGTCCGCAACCATATTTTGGGGATGACTGTACATCTCCATGTTGTTGAACTGTCTGGCCAGGCACTCAGGCTTGGTGTAAACATGGGAACCCACTCATGGCTCTTGCGGTCTCGCTTTCTGAGTATGATGGAGTCTGGAACACTGAAGCCTTTTCTATTATTGGACATAATGTCACAAAGACAGAAGCTATTTCCCCATTGTGTTAAAAACTAATGTAGGTTAGCAAATCTTGTTCATTTTAAGGATGCAACGCGTCTCTCATTTACTACTAGTACTTGACTCTTGCTATTGCAGAGCTGGAGACATATCTGTGGATCTTATTATAATACACTGCCCACTCTGGACTCATTCTGTACATTTCCACAGCAGAATCTATGGCGGGAAAAAGATTGTTAAAAAAAAACAAGCAATTTTGGCATGACTGTCACAAAACTACACTGATTGCATTATAATCTGTCTCACTGACTTTACTTTAGTGTGTGACATGAATTTTCATCATTCCTGTGTTGGCTTGTTCAGAAACTCCAGCCAATTTAAGGGTTGTTTTCTGACATATATGAAGTTTCAATGGCTTGATAATCATTAATGAACCGAACCGTGAGGCCAGTTTAGGTTCTCACCCCTAGTTTTGAGTCTATTCTCATTTTCTTTCTTGGGATAATTCCTGTTAAGGCTGATTTATACTTCTGCGTCAAACGCTGGCGTACGCTACTGCGCTGACTCTTAGCCCGTCGCCGTCGCTGACGTGCACCTCTCAAAAAATGTAACTACACGTCGCAACGACGCGTAGCGTAAGCTCTGTGATTGGTCGGCTTGGTAGCGCTGACGAGTCTGGGCGGGACCGAGAGCCGCGCGAATGGCGCGAGCAATTGTTTACAAGCTGTTGAGTCCCGTGAAGGAGCTCCGGATGGAAAGTTTTGTTTTGTGTTTACCTCATAGTTAAAGTTGTTGCACGTCCGCCGGTTCCTGCATCAAAATGAGCGAGTTTGAGTCACTTGTACATCCCGGAAGTGTTCAGGAAACGCAAAAAAGCAGAGAAGAAACTCGACACAGAGAAACATTTACACCTCACTGCCAACTAGCGTTTCGGAAGTGTTAATGCAGACCAACAGAGACAGTGCGCAGAAGTATAAATGCACAGCCACGTGCGTTGCATGCGCCGTGGGTTACGCCGGTCACCTGACGCAGAAGTATAAATCAGGCTTTAGATGCAGTACGAAAGACCATACATTTTAAGTTATAAAAGCAACAAACCTGTATGCATTTTTATAGTAAGATATTTTATAGGCTGTGTCTCATTTCAGAGGCTGCATCCTCCGAAGGATGCATTCAAAGTGCACTACTTTATTGCAGCGTAACGAAGGCTGTCGTTCAAAAAAAAGGCTTATTCAAATGAAAAGGGTGTCACGATTTTGATTTTAAATCCATGAAATGAAATTCATGCTCAATTTCGATTATCAAAAAATGGAATCCTCGATGCTGCCACGCCCCCATGTCACGTCAGCTTGGCTTGCCAAACGGAAAAAAAGACACGCTTGTTGAAGAGCCTGTTGAAATGCAGACGCATGAGACCCGTCGACAGAGCTTAAACCCTCTCCTCTTTCAATGAATTCGCCGGTGTGAAAGTGTTTTGGATTTCCAGTTAGATATGTTGACAACGTTCGTGTTGTGGGAAAAAAAAAAACACAGTTTGCAAGCCCTATGTATTAGGGTTGAGCCGATCGACAACACCGGCATCGCAATCCTCCGCCCTGCCCCCGTTGCAAATCCGCTCGCGAAAAATACACACTCAGGCCCTGTTTACACTAATAGGTCTTAGTTTTTAAATAGCATTTTATAACAATAACGATCCACATCCACTGTTCACACAGGCGAGGACGTTACGGAAATTTTCCCCAAAAGAGCATTCACACATCCATTCCAAAATACCGGTAAATTCTGACATCATTCACCACAAATGAGCTTAAACAGCTGCGCTTGTATTTGTAAACATTTGACTAAATTACAAACTCTGTGGATGATCAATATTGTGAACAACTTTCGCAGGATCACTTTCGCATGTCGAGATGTTCATAATATGTGCGTGTGCAGGCGCTCACAGGCTGTTTCACAGGCACACGCAAAGCTTGAAGGTAAACGAACAACGGCTTATCATAAGCATCTCATCAATGATTATTTACACAGTTGGCATTAAGAAGAACATATAAACGTGATCTGACTAACTTCTAGCAGCTAAATGTGTCTGGAAAAAATATTCAAAGGCTTTTATTCTCACAAACCGCGCGGATGTAAATGCGTCTGACTGTTGTGATTGGCTAAAGCAGACGTCTCACGTCAGCACGTTCTAGACGTGCACGCACTTATTACGGTAATCTTCCTTCTGCATTTACACAGCGCAGCATTCCGGCAAATTGCCGGTAATGTTACAACTTCTCTTTCCGGAAAATAGCCAGAATGAATTTACCGGTATTTTCAAAAAGGACCTGTTCACATATACAACCTTTCATTTTCCGGAAAGGTCTGTATGTGTGAAAGGGGCTATTGTCATGCGCTCGAGAGTCGATGTGTGCGGGTCCAGGCTGTCAGCGGGTCAGTAGACTGCTTCAATCTTTGACTCTCACACTTGTGCTTGGTAATTTTATCGAACACCTCAGATACTGTTGGCTGGTTCCTGTTGGTTGTGCACCTTTTTTACCGACGCCATTATAAGGACACAGATCACTGCCTATTCACGAGTCCCGCGGAAAAAGTGATTGACAGGTGGCAATTATGTGTGTAACTTATCTTTATTCATTTACTGTATAATTTGTTTATGATTTTGTTAAATTTTTCTTTTTTAAATCAAATCGAACCGTGACTTTAGAATCGAAATTGTAATCGAATCGAGGATTTGGAGGATCGTAACACCCTTATTCAAATGCATCTTTTGTTTCCCTGATAATGAAGGATACAACTAGTTGATCCTTCACTTCCACATACATCCCAAGATTCAATGTACGCTGATAAAGGCAGGACATTTTTAAAAGAGAACTTCGGATTACAGTTTTAAATGTATAAATTAGGTTTTATTTTACTTGAATATCTAAACACATGTTAAAAAAACAATAAGAGTAGATCTTGTCTAACTAAAAAGTGATTTTATAGACGGTTTACATTTTTATTTGTACATGTATGAATCAAAGAAAAATGTATTTCCAGTTTTTATAAACCTTGTTTTGCCTTCAGATCGCTTTACCTAAGTTTTAAATTCACTTTTAGAAAAAGACAATATGTATTACAGCTTATTAACGGCAGCTGTTACGGTTGCTAAGTCACGAGATCTGTCCTCTGTAGGCTAGATCAATCTCATTTTAAAATGCTCTGCTCGGCATGTGTGGACTTCAATGGACTCACCTTGGAAGTCAACATCTTTCGGAGGACAGCAGCCGCTAAAAAAAGACACAGCCATAGTAAATTATCAGTGACGTTTTTTTAGGGAGTGATCACAAATGGAATATTGATGTTATACAAACAACAAACCCTTAGTTCATATTAAGCAAGTTATTTTTTCTACAAAACATTATCATTTTTTAATAGTAATTGGAGTAGTTTTGCATCCCAGAAGCTGCAATGTATCATTATATTCCTAAATTTAAACACAAGTGGCAAGTGTGTGAATATATCCAGCCTTTACTAGTTAAAATTGATTAGTAGTGTTTTTATAATCCAGCTTGATAAAAACAGTTGGCTAAAACACTGATTGACATTCTCTCTTTTTGTACATATCATCAAAGGGGGAAAGCCCCACTCATTGGTGATGATCTCCTCTTCATTAGCATAGGCAGCCCTGAGTGAGAAGCAGCCATCCGCCATTAGTTTCCATGCAATCCCAGCTGAAGATTGAAGAGGATTAAACATGTTTATACACAAATGAACCCTGGAGTCTCCATAGACCTTCTGAGACACCTTTTTTTTTTTGTTGGCATTTTCCATTTTTGACAGAGATAACGCCAGTCCTGTACTAAATCTGTCACTATGCTGACACACAGGCATTTATAGCTCCGCCCCCTTTTGAAAAGAGCACAATTTCATTTGAATTTAAAGTGACAGTCTTCAAAACGTCACAATTTGGATCAAAGCCTAAAAGGATCAGTTTCAAAGAGTTATCCAACATTATCTGTGTGGTATTTTGAGATTAAACTTTACACACACACACACTCTAGGGACATCATAGACTTGTTTTACATTTTGTAAAAAGGGGAAAAAAAGTCCCCTTAAAATAAACAATCTAATAAATGATTTGCACATTCTCATTCACATGCTGTGAGCTCTGGTTTTATATAAAAATCTTTAAATTGTGCCTCGCAGTCATGTTAGGATATTACCGTAGTCATTGTTGGTGTTTTAAAACAACATTGCTACGTAAACCTATTGTTCTTTTTCAGTTTAATCAACTTTAAATTAAAAAAGTCCCTGTTTACTTTGTAACCAACCACCTAATAACAACTCACACATTTCCAACTAGTTATTCATTCCAACCGTTTCATTCATTTGCTTGTGTGTTTGGAAAATAGAGTTGGGATTTTGAAGCTTAAATTCTTTTGTGGACTTTTCACAGTGGCTCACTGCGCCTCATCAAGACAGATCATCTCACACTGGAAGAACTGCACCCGGCACGACTGCCCTGTCTGTCTGCCCCTGAAAAATGCCAGTGACAAGAGAAACCAGCAGCGTAAGTCATCCTCACATTTACATCAACTACACACATGCAGATATTCAATAATTCAATGTGTCGTCAAATTGAACATGCTCTATTTGTATCAGGGCTTTTACTTATGATTCTCCGACACTGTGGAGTTCTCTTTCAGTTGACATCAGGATTCTTGCTGTTTTTACATCTTAAAACCATTTTGTTTAGGATTGCTTTTGTTAATCTATTTTGTATTATCTGTTTTTCTTTTATCATTGTTGTATTTTTATGTATGTTGTCTTTGGGTGCTTTCACACCTGCCTTATTTAGTTCGATTGAATCGCACTAGAGTTCGTTTCCCCTTTTGGTGCGGTTCGTTTGGGCAGGTGAGAATGCAGCAATCGTACTTGAGTGCGCACCAAAAGCGGACCAAATAAGCGTACCGAGACCTGCTTGTAGAGGTGGTCTTGGTACGCTTTCAAACGAACCCTGGAGCGGTTCGTTTGTGGTGAGAATATGATCCGTACTAAAACAGGTCCAACTGCAAAAAGTACTGCGCGTTTTGGACTAATCCAGCTGCCGTAGGCCGATGCGCTGTGCATTATGGGATATGGAGGAAAAATATTTGTTGACAGCGCAGTACGATCAAGGTACGATTTCTTTAGCTAGTGTGAACATGTCTTCTGAACTCTCAACTCAAACTAATGTCTGCTTTTCTCCTCCAAAAACGACTAAAACCAACTGATTCCATTAAAGCAGAACAACAATGATATCTGTATGTCTTTCCACTTTGGTGCCTTGGGTTTCATGGCCGTCACTTAGCAACAGCTGTACACACAACAGCAGCTTGATGAAGCAACGCACTGGGTATCAGAAGGAAAAAAAGACAGTGTGAACACTAGGCTTGTGCGGTATCCAAATTTGATACCGTCAAACCTCCTCCCTATTTAACCTCTATCCGGTATTAGTGTATAATAAAAAAAAAATTGTGACGTAGGGCTAGGCAGCGTCACCAAATTGTTGGCTTGTGCCTAAACCATTCAGAACCATTCAGTTCTGCATTTGTTAATAAACAGTTGACGCAGCTGTTATAAGCGATTATAGAGCGAAATCCTAGCGAACTCTCTTTACGTACGCAAAATCTCAGCGAACATTAATTTTGTAAGCAAAATCCCTGCGTGTGTTTTGGTTTCTGCCAAAGATAAAGGACTTTGGTTCGCATTTGTCAGGCATGTCAAATTCAATTCCTGGAGGGACGCAGCCCTGCGCAGTTTAGTTCCAACCCCTAATAAACACACCTGATCAAATTAATTTAGTCCTTCTGGCTTGTTTGAAACCTACAGGTAAGTGTGTTGGAGCAGGGTTGGAGCTAAACTGTGCCGGGCTGCGGCCCTCCAGGAATTGAGTTTTGACATCCCTGGCCTGTGTTGTCCTGCTTTTTGATAGACGAAGAGATTTAGGTCGTACTCACACTAGGTACAGTTGCCTCGAACCGGGCCAAAGCACGCTTGTCCCCCTCCCGTCTCCCCCGACGGCCCGCGCTCACACCTTATCGGGCCTCGGCACGCTTACGTCATTGCTGCTGCGCTGTTCAGTGAGAAGCACTCTCAGTCACTCAGCTGCACAGAGGAGATTTCTCTAGTTATATCCTTTCAGTCGTTTGATATGCAGTGACATGCAGTCAAATATTTCGCCAAACAGTCCTTAGGGATGCGGTGACACGCAGTCAGATATTTCACCGGACAGATCCGCCACTTTTGGCGCTCATAAACAATCATATAAAGTCCTCGTGCTGCAGGAATGTGGAGGTTTGCTGAAGGCGCGCAGCTGTCATGCAGTGAGGAGTTTGCGTCTTTCATTAACTACAGCAGTTTGCGTTCACTGAACAATAAGAATGATTAATAAATCCATATGAAACAGCCCCTTAAAAGTCACGTCTTGCTTTCAGTTTCAGGCTTTGGCGCGTTTTGCCCAAGTGAACCGCGCTCAGGCCCACCTTTTCCAACCGGGCCAGGCCCCGGCCAAGTCAATCGTGCTTGAGCCCGATTCAGAGCACTCACACTTCTCAAACGATCCGGGAAACGGGCCTGGGCACGGTACGGATAGCATAGTGTGAGTAGGCCCTTAAGTAGATTTCTAAACGGAAACAACATTTTTTACATGGCTTGTTTGATCGCATAATAATGCATCAGAGGTTAAAAGTACCTCTGAAAAACAGGTTTAAGACATCTTTAGATTTATTAAGGCCTTATTTTTATACTAAGGAATTTAAGACTTTTTAATCCGCAGACAGCCTGTTACTATATATTTATATATATATATATATATATATATATATATATATATATATATATATATATATATATATATATATATATATATATATATATATATATATATATATATATATATATATATATATATTTTTTTTTTTTTATACATGATGATATAACTGTTTTTGCAGCTTGGGTAAATCTTGTGATAATACCAGATATTGTGATAATCTTCAGCAATTAATTGCTATAAGAAAATTTGATACTGGGAGAAGTCCATGTGAACGCCATTATTTTCTGCTTTCTAGCTAGCACTGGCATTATTTGGTACACTGTGTAAAAATATTGGGTTCCACAATTCCTTTATGTTGTCTCAACAAAAATGAATCGTTAACTCATTTGTTTATACAAATTTAAGTGGATTGAACACAAAGCAATTAAGTTAATCTAAAAAACAAAACTCAAGAATTGTGTTAATTCAGCTCATTTTGAATAACTAATTTGAACAAACGGCAAATGTCTTTATTTTGAGTGTATGGCTAATTGCCAAATCTCACAAAAAATAGTATTTATACATTCTAAACAATGTTTAGTCTACTTGTAGTCTCTTATCAGGGGTGTTAAGATTTTTAACATTATGACAATTTCCATTAATGGACAAATAAAGGTGCAAACAAAGGCAAAAGCGTTCATTTTCTGTGTATAATCAGTATCTGTGCATCTCGTGCTTTAAGACTGTGCGTGTGTTTGTTCACCTGAGTGCTGCCACCTGTAGGTCATGTGTGCTGCTCGGCTGCGCTCTGAATGTGAAAGCATGAGACCAGCAGCAGATTCCGGCAGGCAGCGGGACTGTAATCTGACACCGCGGGGGAGGGGCTCCACCCTCTAGCTTTTTACAGGGGGTGGGCGGGACGTAGAGGGCTCCTGCTGCCTGATTGGACAGGCGATCGCTGACTCGTTTAAATCCCCCTGTAGTGGCAACAGAAGCACGTTCTTCTCTCCGGCTTTCTTGCAGTTCTGCTCTCCGCCGCTGCTCTAAGTGCTCAGCCATTGCAAAATGGCCTTTCCTCCTCAGCCAATTGAGTTTGCAGTTTGCGTGGCATTTTATATGTAGAACATGTAATTAATTTATTGAATTTATTTTAAATTAAATTAATTTATTTTATTTATTAGAGAGCACATTTTCCAGAAACATTTATAAATTCATTGTGTGAGATGTATTGTGAGGACTTTTGGGTATTTTGTGTTATTTTATTAAGGTTATTGCTTTTGTTTTATTGCTTTGTTGTTTTTAAGTCTAATCTAAAGCCACAGCTTCTATGAGATGATTTTTTTTTTTTGGTGTAATTTGATAACATTAATTCAGCTTTATTTTTTAGATTCGTGCTGCATTATCAAAATTAAATTAAAAAGAAATAAAATAAACTAGACAATATATTTAGTTCATTTATTAACTTTCCTTTGGCGCAGTTCCTTTATTCATCTGCATTCGCCACAGCTAAATGAACCACCAACTTATCCAGCATATTTTTTACACATTGGATTCCCTTTCAGCTGCAACCCAGTACTGGGAAATCACTTCACTTAAAGTATGCATGTATGCTGGAAACCCGTAGCCGCTGACATCCACAGTATTTTTTCATCCCAGTGACTGGTTTCCAACATTATTCAAAATATCTTCTTTTGTTTTCAATAAAAAAAGAAACGGATAAAGGTCACCACTTTAGGGTGAGAAACTGTTTATTCATTTGTTTTCCTTCAGCTTGGTCCCTTTATTTATCAAGGGTCGCCACAGCGGAATGAACCGCCAACTTATCCAGCATATGATTTACACGATGGATGCCCTTCCAGCTGCAGCTCAGTACTGGGAAACACCCATACACACTCATTCACATTCATACAGTACGGCCAATATAGCTTATTCAATTCACCTATAGCGCATGTCTTTAGACTGTGGGGGAAACCAGAGCACCCAGGGGAAACTCAAGCGAACAAAAGGTAGAACATGCAAACTCCACACAGAAACACCAACTGACCCAGCCGAGACTCGAACCAGCTTTCTTGCTGTGAGGCGACAGTGCTAACCACTGATCCACCGTGCCGATTATGTTAAATTTTTAACAATTTTCATTAATGCACAGATAAAAGGAGCTAACAAAGCGTTCATCTTCTGTGTACGATCACAGGTTTGTATCTGTGCATATCATGCTTTAGGACTGCATGTGACAATATACGATTAGTGACAATTATGCTTATGCTTCCCCTTAGAGGGCTGACTTCAGTAGACTTATAATTTTATTAATCTTTCAAAAATTTACCAAAAGTGAACAATCTTTAACAATCAAAAATCAATCATAATCTCCTTAATGAATGATTACAGTTACCTTTAAAGAAAAGGCTTGTAGATTTATTTTATGTATTGATTGTTGGTGTTTTATTGTGATAGACCTTTTTATTATTAAAAAAGGCGTTATTTCTAAAATGTTTGTACATTTTTATCTGTTATTGTCATGAAATAGTCAGAGAAGCTGACCTGGCAATATACCTTGAACATACTTTTGTTTTAATTAAACAGAAAAAAAGCTTAAAATAATATTAAATGTAGATGTATTTGACTTTTTGAAAAAAAATAAATATTAATCTTGCAACCAAAACATTGTATTAAAATAAGATTTTGCAAATTGAAACTGTCGGACAATTGTTTTAGTTGTATTATTTTATGTACCCTAAAATCCACATTAACCAGAAGCGTTGGCCTTTTTTTTTTTAGTATTGTGATGCAGTTCCTAGAAAAATTTGTATTAAATGAGAATGCGAGCTGATCGGATGTAGTAAAGTAGGCATTTTTTTCAGAATAATTTGAGTTATTACAAGCTAATAGACAACATTTTTGTTTGTTGTCAAATCTGACAGGAAGAGGGGTGCGGTCAAGTATGTTAGCCCTGCCCACAACTTTAGACAGACCTAATCTGAGGCTGCGTCCGAAATTGCTTCCATTCTATATAGCATGCTCAAAACTGCATGCGAGTTGAGTAGTATGCCCAAATTCATACAATTTGAAAATTGGTATGTAAGAAGTATTCGGATTACCTACTTCTGGCGAGATTCTGAAGTGCACATTCCATGTACGCTACGCTATCCCATGATGTCCCACGACAGAATTCATGAATGGGAGTGAAGCGATGCAACTCATGCGGGTAGGTCATGTGATCATGACAAAATGGTGGATGTAGTACGTGCGAGTTTCATTCTTTCTGTACAGAGCGCACTCTTCTGACGGCCAAGTAGTTTGTTTAAATTTAAATGCCGTAATACTGAGTAGTAGGCAATTTTGGGCGCAGCCTGAGAATCTACCTGAAAACAAACAAGTGCATTTTCAGATTTCAATTAAAGTTCATGAGGGCAAACAGTTTTTTTTTTCTTAATGACATGCACAGTTGAATTGTTCACCACAAAACTAGCAATGCGAGTCAACAAAATATGGTTAGTTTTGATTTCCTGTGTATTTTAAGGCAGTGTTTCTCAACCACTTTTCTGGAGGACCACCAGCACTGCATGCCTCCATTGTCTGTCACACTCATTACAGGCGTTTCTGTCTCTGCTAATGAGCTGATGATCTGAATCAGGTGCGTCTATTTAAGGAGACATAGAAAATGTGCAGAGTTGGTGGTCCTCCTGGAACGTGGTTGAGAAACACTGCTTTTTAAAGAGTAAAAATTTATTTTATGTGTTTTTCTTTAAAAATTTAAGGGATTTTAAAGAAGCAGCAGTGGCTTTATATTTTATTTAAATCATGGATATCTGAATTGACCGAAGGTCTTCTGTGTGTGATTTGCAGCGATGCTGAGCTCCCCGAATCCTGGCATGCAGTCTCCGCTGGGGCAGGTGGGCACGAGTCAGCCTGCGGCGCCCGCCATCAGCAGCGGCACACACATCGACCCCAGCTCCATGCAGAGGGCGTACGCAGCGCTGGGCCTCCCGTACGGGAATCAGCCCGCCGCACAGACACAGGTCGCAGGACAGCAGCCCACGCAGACGCAGCAGATGCGCTCCATGGCCGCATTAGGTATCAACACATGGAAATGTCAAATTGTTATTAGTGGTTGGCTGAAAAGCAGAATTTTTTTTTTTATCCATTTTCATTATTAACCTTGAAAGCTGCTGCCATTCTATAACCTCCATCTTTCATGCTGTTGAGCTATACAAATTACTTTATATTAGGGCTGCATCTGACATTTAGATTTTTTTTTTTCTGCGATACGCACTCAATGGCCACTATATTAGGTACACCTTACTAGTACCGGGTTGGACCCAATTTTGCCTTCTGAACTGCTTTAATACTTCGTGGCATAGATATAACAAGGTACTGGAAATGTTCCTCCGAAATTTTGGTCCGTATGGACATGATAGCATCACACAGTTGCAGCAGATTTGTCAGCTGCACATCCATGATCCAAATCTCCCGTTTCACCACATCCCTAAGGTGCTCTATTGGATTGAGGTCTGGTGACTGTGGAGGTCATTTGAGTATCAACAAGACATTTGCAACCACAGAACTGCCACTCACTGAATATTTTCTCTTTTTCGGACCATTCTCTGTAAACCCTAAAGATGGTTGTCCGCGATGATCCCAGTTGATCAGCAGTTTCTGAAATACTCAGACTGTCTGGCACCAATAACCATGCCCAGTTCAAAGTCAGTTAAATCACCTTTCTTCCCCATTCTGATGCTCGGTTTGATCAGCAGCAGATTGTCTTGACCATGTCTATATGGTAATGCATTGAGCTGCTGCCATGTGATCAGCTGATTAGAAATTTGCGTAAACGAGCAGTTGGACGGGTGTACCTAATAAAGTGGCCAGTGAATTGAACAGCTCTATTTGGAAAGATTTCATTAATTTAGATAGATTTGGATGATCAAGTCTTTTTCTGTGTGGAGCGTTTACATAAATTATAATACATTACAAGCCTATATAAATACAACAGCAAAGATAAAAAATAAACAGTCCTTTATGGTTTTCTGGAGAGTCAACCGTATTTATGTACAGAAAATGAACAGTCAATCATGAAATAACATGGTCATCATTGTATAAATTATTTTAAGATAATACAATTTAATCTTTAATAAATAGTCTGATTCTGCGATGTGACTATTGTGGATACACGTATTGCGATGTACAATTGATATATTGTGCAGCCCTACTTTTATATTTTGTCTTGCATAAATATAATTACTAAATGCATTTTTTCAAAAACAGTTGAAAGCAAAATTATTCTGCCTCCTGTGAAATTTTGTATTTTAAGAATATTTTCCAAGTTATGTTTCCTGTAATATTTTTTCTTCTGGAGAAAGTTTTTTTTTTTTTTTTTTATTAGTTTGTCTGGAATTAAACCAGTTTTAAAAATAATTAAAAACTATTTTTAAGGTCATTATTGTAAACCCCCTTGCAAAATAATTTATTCTCCCGATTGGCTATAAAGCTGATCAATGTTGTCCAATAACTTGTATAATTACACTTATTTGCCTAAACTGTTAACCCCTAGTTTAGTCTTTAAAAAAATACTAGTATCTTGTAAAATATATTATATACTTTATATATTGTATACTGCTTTTTGGTTGAGACCGGCTGAAATTTTCAAGAGCAATTCACTCCATTTGCTTTCAATCGATTCTCTTAATCATTAAACGTAATTCACTAACTTTGAATTGCAATTAAATTGCAGTTTAACCATGTATATAATAACTTATATTTGATTAGCTTTAACTAAATCTGATTATAATGTAATATTAATTTTGTAAAGCTGCTTTGAAATCATAATTATTGCTAAAAGCGCTATACAAAAAAACTTGAATGGAATTTAATTTAATTAACAAAAGCACATCAAAATTCAGATAAAATAAAAATCAAACAATATTCAAATTTGTCATAAATCAAAAATCTATCACGAAGTTCCATTTTTCACATCTTATGAACATCTTTATGATGTTCACATTCAAATTGAAGAACAAAATAAAACACTAAGAGTAGTTTAAACCAGGGGTGCCCAAACTCGGTCCTGGAGGGCCGGTGTCCTACAAAGTTTAGTTCCAACCCCAATCAGACATACCTGGGCTGGCTTATCAAGCTCTTACTAGGCTTTCTGGAAATATCAGTGCAAGTGAGTTAAGGCAAGTTGGAGATAAAATCTGCAGGACACTGGCCCTCCAAGACTGAGGCCTCGTTTACACTAGTGCGTTTTAGTTTGAAAACGCACAAGTTTTGCTATGGTTACACTATCCGTCCACACTATGCTGGAGTTTTCGAGCACCGAAAACGGAGCGTTTTAGAAAAGCTGGAGAGGCAGTTTTCATTCTCAAACACTGCTGCTCCGTCTCAGTGTGGATGGGGAAAACGGAGACATCTGAAAACGGAGGTGTGGCTGCTGAGATTCGCTACCTGATTGGGGCTTTTGTGTCATTGCGTATCCTTCCCTTATTCGTCAAGCCCCTATCACATGACTATAACACATGGCTTTAAAGCTACCGGAAGACAGCAGACCAGCCTTCACTGTAAACAACAACAATGACACAGAAATGGGAGCGTTGTTTGCACTATTGTCTGTTTTAGGCGCCATTGTGCAGTTATTCATTTGTTACGTTTAGTAACAACTCGACCTCGTCGTCTGTCCACAAAACTACCTCTCTTGCTTTCTTTGCCATTGCGTTCATTGTTAACGGTGTTTGTTGACTAACAAAAACCAAATGCCGAGTGAGACACATGCTTCCTGTTTATACTAGAGCGAGCATGCCCAGAGTGCGTGAATGGTCACATTTTTGGTGGTGTAGTGTGGACGGAGATATGTTCAGAAACGCTAGGTGAAACGCTAGTGTAGACGCGGATCGTTTTTGATCTAAAACACCATTTTAAAACTAAAACGCACTAGTGTAAACTGGGCTTGAGTTTGGGCACTTCTGGTTTAAATGAAATAAAATGCACTTTTTAAAAAAATGACTACAACACCGGTCATCATGGCAAAGATATCAGTTATTAGAAATTAATTGTTAAAACTATTATGTTTAGAAATGTGCTGAAAGAAAATCTCTTTATTAATTGACACTTAAGATTTTTTTTAAAGAACTTGACTTTAACAAGAGGTCTAATAACTTTGCCTTCAACTGTGTATTTCAGTCATATAGAGAAATACATGGGAATTAGTTTAGCATCATTCTTAGAGCAGTTTATTAAATGTTTTCAGTGTTTTGGACAAAATAAAATGAATGAAGTGCATCATTGTCTGTGCATGATTTGACTGAATCTGTGGTCAGTATGCGTTGGGTCTTCATGCTGCCTCCCATGTGGCTTATTCATGTGTAACACCTGTCTGGTTTCCCACCACATCTTCAGGCTCTAACCAGATGAACATCGGTGGTAATGGTATGGCCGATCAGACGAACCTTCACACTGATTCCTCTCTCCCCTCATCACTCAGCAGCAAGTGAGTCTTTTTCATCATTCACCCCCTTTCACCTTTAACCTGTCACACTGCAGAAACATGCGTCTGAGTCGGTGTGTTGTGATTTTATAGCAGTCAGTCCCTACAGGATTTTAAAAAATAAAATAAAATAAAGTCTGATTTTATTTGTGACTAAATTGATTTTGTGTTGAGTTTTTGCGACATTTGTTGCAAATTTTGTGGCATTTATTTTGTTTTGATGAAAGGGTATACTTATTTTTTGACCTCGAGAATCATTGATTTCTGTAATTTGTATAAAGGAAATGCAGCGAGAGACTAGACTTTACCCCTTAAGCTGCTGTATAATATTTGAAAATGAAACCAACTGTGTAAAAATATACCATCAATGTTATGGCTGTTTGAACACATTGCATTATATAATGCAGAGAAGGCATGCTTACAATATGTGTGAGAGAATCTAAATGCAGGGAATTATATATATTTTATATATATATATATATATATATATATATATATATTATATATATTTATATATATCTTGCCCCTGATTGGCATTGTGTATATAAAGTACATTGTATGTGTTTGGAAAAAAATAATATTACTAATGATGTGGGGTTTCCACATTCACCCAAACCTACTTAAGCATTTTTGGAGGCATTTGGAATTAGAAAATTGCCGGTAATTTTCCGGAAAGGTCTGTATGTGTGAAAGGGGCTTTAGTCACTCACTGTATTTTTTTACCTGCTTTCTTTTGCTTGCACTTATTTTTGTTAATATGGTATAATAATTTTTTTTTTTTTTACAATAACATTGATTTAATATGAGATTAACTCCCCATTTATGTGTAGTTTACTGGCAATCTGGGACCTTTAGCCAGGACAGATGATGCATATTTTAGATATACATGACAATTATCATTTTTAAAATTTCAATTATTTTTAAAGAAAAGATTTGTTGAATTAAAAGTGCATGTACACAGCTATATTTTGCTTGTTTTGACCCATTATTTAAAATTTGTGGCTAAGAAATAATAATTTATTTATTTTTGGTGTGGTCAGAGTTAAATTTGGCAAATCCTTAATTTTGAGCCCCAGAAAGTCATGTGAAATAAAAAAAAAATATTTGCAATGCGACAATGAGACCTCAACTCATATGCTCATGCACACTGAGCAAGCTCATACACAACACACACAAAAAGTGAAATGGAGGCATGTGGATATAACACAAAATCTAAATCAAGACATTTTAGCATGTCAAATTTATGCAAATAAAATATATTTTCCAACAACAAATGTGTGGCTAGTGAAAATGGCGAGTGGCTAGTAATCAACAGCGGCTGGTGATCAAAAAATGTCAAGCATGGTTTATAATCTAATGTTATTATCCCGCACCCACAGCCAGATGATGCCCGACGGGTCGAATATGGGTGGCGCAGGGAACCTGCCCACTGCTGCGCCGCTGTCGATGCCCGGCATGAAGAAACCCTGGCACGAGCACGTCACTCAGGACCTGAGGAATCACCTAGTGCACAAGCTGTGAGTTCAACAGATCAAACATCAATATTGTGTTTTGTCATATGCTGCTTTTTTTTACACAGTGTGTTCTCCTAATGCTCCTACAGAGTTCAAGCCATATTCCCGACTCCTGACCCTGCAGCACTGAAAGACAGACGCATGGAGAATTTGGTTGCTTATGCACGGAAAGTGGAGGGAGACATGTATGAGTCTGCCAACAGCAGGGTAAGACACACAAACATTCCTGCTACATTCAGACTCTCACAGGGTCCCCGCGGGTCCTGTAAAAGTTTTGAAATGTCTAGAAATGTCTAATTTTCCATAAGGAGGTCTTCGATTTCATGTGGGATCTTAAATTTCATATCCAACTCGTCATTTTTATTTTTTTTCTACTGCAATTTGACCAGCGCAACATTTGGGGACAGCATTTTGCGAAATAGCATGGGCAAATGTTTGTTTGACAAGTGATTGGAGGACGAAAAGTATCGGGGGTGCCTGAAGAAAACAGCCAGTAATCATGAAGGGAGGTGTGCTTTATGTAAAAAGACGATAAAACTGGGGACAAGGGGCCACAAAGCGCTCTATTCACACATGAAAGCAGAGAAGCACAACAAGTATGTGTCGTCGCAGGCAAGTAGTTTGCCCATAAGTATGTTCTCATCGAGCACTTCGACCTCTCAGCCTTCCTCAAGGCCGTCCACTTCAAGCAATGCCTTCAGCAGCTTTGCGAATGTAGCTACACTTAAGGCCGAAATACTGTGGGTATTTCAAACCATGAGCCGCCGCCACCACTCGTACACCTCAAATGAGGACATCCACCTAGTTTTTCAAGCAATGTTCCCTGACTAAAGTACGTTTACATGTGGAAGGGACGAAACGGCATATTTAGCACGATTTGATGTTGCCCCATACTTAAAGAAGGAACTAATTTCACGGGCAAACAAGGATGCTTTCATCATAATGTTCGATGAGTCCATGAACGCAGCAACGAAAACTAAACAGTTGGACTTGCACGTCAGGCATTGGTCAACTGACGAAACCAGCACCGTTGTAAGGTCAATCAGCACTTGGTATAAAAGTTTTCGTGTCCCTTTGATCTGTCTTGAGCGTGGCTCCGGGGTGGCACAATTTTCCTGTTTTTAATTTAAATTTTTTTTTTAGGTAAAGTCTTAAATTTTCATTTAAGAGGACTTAAAAAGGTCTTAAAAATTTCCTGTTAAAAAATGTGCAGATACCCTGTCTTACACAGCAACACACCTCAAGCTTTCTGCACGTTTTTAGACGTGATATGTGAACGGCCATGTAAAGGGTTATAATAATCTATTTAAATTTGCCCATTTGAATTATGGTTGCCTGTTTGTCTTTTTCCAGTTCCAAAATTGCGAGAGTTTTTTTTTTTTTTACCCATTTTTTGCTGTTATGCTTCAAAATCCATTGCATGTAAAGGGATAAACTATTTATTTTACACCTTAATTTGTACATTTGTATATACAAATGCTATTAAACCAGGCTGAAATTATGTTTAAGCATTATTTGAATGAATATTTTAAAAGGTGCTTATCCAAAGATTTACACAGTATTGAGTCTTTCTGAAGTGATCTGCTAGCTTGTTTACACAAAACTCTGCTACGTCTGACGAGAGGACGGCCAATTGTGTGCATGTCAGTCGAAACATTCCCTTTGACAAATAATCCACATTTGTGTATATTTCTAAGCTTTTTGATTGGTTTTATTCACCATGTTTGGTAAAGATGTGAACTACACTGGTCTCACGGTTCGGTTACGATTATCATGCATGGATTCGGTTTAATTTGATAACTCTGTGCATTGGGCGATGCTTTCCATACAGTTTTAGATTTTACTTCACAGCACAGCAATTCTATTAAAATGTTTAAATATATTTAAAAACTATTTGTAATTAGGGATGCAACGTAACGCTTTAATCCATCACGGTTAATTAATCGTAAAGGCCTTTCAACGCCGTGTTTCTACACGTGAGAAACTACAGCAACTAAACAAAGTTATGCTAACTGTGTGCTATTTTGCACAATCAGACTAATAACAACACACACTGGACTGACTATGACATTATTTTCAATGGAGGGACGTGCACACTACGCAACGTGCTCACGCTTTTGCGGCGCACTAGTTGAGATTGGGGCTTTTGTGATCGCGGGAACTGCAAACGACTGAAGTTTGAGGTAGAAGCAATGAAAAGTGCTTTTATTAATAATAAAAAAATAATAATAATTCACATTATTGGCCTGTATGTTAAAATAGAACAGTGCAACTTCCGACTAATTTCGACAGATCAGGTTAGATATGGACTTTAAAAAATAATTTTTAAAGCGTTTAAAGTGGCATTTATCTCAGTCCAACTTAAATACGAAAGTTTGTGTAATTTTGCTGTACTGCTAAAAAACAACAACATCTATCCTGCTGTGACATTTAGATGAGCCTTTTCTTTCAATAACAAAATAAATGCTTTACATATTGACCACTGTGGAAAAGCTTGACATCTGATCGTGGCATCATGCAATTCAGCACTCAAACAAAATCTCCTTCTTGTGTTCAGGATGAGTATTATCACTTTCTGGCTGAGAAGATCTATAAGATCCAGAAGGAGCTGGAGGAGAAGAGAAAGTCCAGGCTGTCGAAGCCGCAGATGGGCGCTCAGGGTCCTCAGCAGCCTGGCCTTCCTCAGCCTAACCCTATGGGGCCTGCACAAGCCATCCGGCCACCAAGTTAGTAGCCGTTCAGTATTTATTGCTGACTGTTGTTTCTAAATAGATGTAGCTGCTCAAAATATGCCTCATTTCCTCAGATGGACCTGTCTCCATGTCCAATGTGCCAAATCAGTTGATGGCCCGGATGCAGGTTCCTCAAGGTATGTGTGTGTTTTCTTGTTGTACACTGATTCATAATGAAGTTTTAGGTTTACATGGTAAAATTTGGGATTGGTACGATTTTTGAAAGACGTCCCTTATGATATTGATGAAAACAAAGTAATATTGAGTATTATTAGAGTTAAAAGTGTCTTTTTGAATTCATTCTGTTGATGAAATACTGAATTTTCAGCATCATTACTACATTATTCACCATCACATGATCCTGCAGAAATCATCAATTATATATTTTTGTTATTATTATCAAAGTAAAAAAGTTATTATCTATTATCAAATATTATTATAAGTTATTATCTATTATCAAAATAAAAATGTTATTATCTGATGACAACATTGCCTTTACAGATGCTTTAGAGACCATTTGTAAAATATTCTTGCCAATAGTATTTATTTATCCCTCTAAAAAAGCTATTGACTGCAAAACATTGCTTACTTTATATGTGTTCTTAACCACTTTTGTTGTTGTAGACTAAATTGGAAATGTAGCACACATTTCTGGTCATTTGCGCACACTTCATCTTTCTAATAATCTCTGGAAGGGCAGAGTTTTTACATTGTTTTACATTGAAAACGTTTAGTTTATGTATTAAAGTTTGAGTCTGGTAAGATTTAAAAGTCCCTTTTGATAAAAATAATGTAATATTGAGCATTAATATATTTAAAGATGTTTATTTTGTTGATGAAATGCAGAGTTTTCACTGTCACACGATCCTGCAGAAATCATCAATTATTTGATTTGATGCTCCAGAATATTTTTTCTTTATTATATTATATTGTTATATTATATTATATTATACTATGATATATTATACTATACTATACTATACTATGATAAATTTTATTATACTATATTATATTATAAATATATTATATTATACTATATATTATTTTATTATAATATATTATATTATAGTATGATATATTATACTATACTATGATGTATTATATTATATTATAAATATATTATATTACATTATATTATACTATGATATGATATATTTTATTATACTATATTATATAATATTTTATTATAAATATATTATATTACACTATATTATAATATATAGTATTATATTACATTATACTATATTATATTTATACTATATTATGTTATACTATATAATATTTTATTATATTATATTATGATATATTATACTATATTATATTGTATTATATTATATTATACTATATTTTATTGTATTATATTATATTTAAAATTGAAATATATGGTAACAACATTGCTTTTACAGATACTTTTGGTCAATTTAAAAACATTCCTGCTAAATAGTAGCTATTTTTCACCCTAAAAGACCTATTGACTGCAAAACATTGCTTATATTTTTCAACATGTCTGTAATTTCTTGACTTTATTTTTTTTTTTACCACATTTTGTTGATGTAGATGTTCATTCTGCAATATTTTGCTCATATTATGGCATTAAAACATCAATAAATAGTCAGCATTGTTGCATTTGTTTGTATTTAAGTAAACATTAAAAACAAAATTGCCCTCTATTACAAATCTAACACATATTTCTGGTCATTTGCACACACTTTCCTACAATCAGTGTTGTTTTTATTTATATATATTTTTTGTACAATGAATGATAAAGAAACAGTTCTGATTGTACATTATATATTGAGTATTTACTATAAGTGTTACCATCAATATAACCAATGTTGCTGATATGGCATTTAAACATAAATAAATAAATAGTCGGCATTTTTGGGATTTTCCTCGCATTAAAGGGAACATTAAAAACAAAATTGCCCTTTATTACAAATACAACACATATTTCCTGTCATTTGCACATACCATGTTATCTGTGTATTTTTTGTACAACGAATGATTAAGAAACTGTTATGATTGTAAATTAAACATTGAGTATTTAAAATTAAAATTTTTGCACTCGCCTCAGGTGGTTTTAGGGAGATTCATTTGCAGAATAAACCCTTTCGCAGAGGAAGCCACATGACTCTGTTATGCTTGCTTTGTTTACAGTTGGTTGCTAGGCTACCAATACTACAGCGAGCCACTCTAACAACTTGATAGAAACAAAAAAATGAAGTTATTTAAGTTTAACTGAAAAAAAAAAATCTGTTTATTTAATTTGCATCAACTCTTATTGAAATATGATGTTGTTATTGAAGTTATTAGTATGTTATATGTTTTTATCTATATTAATCTTGCCATGAAATAGCCATATATTGCTGATGTGTAAATAAATAAACAAACAAACAAATATATTGAGTATTTACTAAAGTGTTGCCATCAGTATAGCCAATGCTGCTGATTTGGCATTAAAGCATGAATGAATAAATAAATTAATGAATAAAATAAATAGTTCACATTGTTGGGATTTTGTTCGTATTAAAGTGAACATTAAAACAAAATTGCCCTTTATTACAAATACAACACATTTCGGGTCATTTGCACACGTCTAATACTCTCTGGACTTTTAGAAATTTAGCTTAAGTTGAACACAAATGTTGGTCGTCCTTAATGTAACGGTTACTGCAATACAGAAAGTAGGTTGTGGTTGCAGTTTCATGTTGACTCGGGAAGAATGAAAGCGGTCAGGCTGGTCCTACCGGAAACGCAGGAATCGCTCAAAAGCTTTAATCTCCAATTGAACATTAAAGCTCGTTGCCTTTTTAACGTGTTTTTTCCATCATGTTCGGCAGGGATGGGCCAGTTCAACCCCGTGACCATGCAGAATGTGCAGATGTCCCAGTCGCAGGTGGGAGCTCCTCGGGCTGCATCACCTATGACCCACAACCCTCAGATGGGCATGGGGAACGTTCCACCGGTGAGCTTTTCTCCGCAGTCAGATAAAACTAGTCAACATCTGAAACAAATCCAGAAAACTACCGATTTCCACAGATCTCAGTGTTATGTATTTTTCTTTTTCTTTTTTTATAACCTGTTTTAACACATTTTAATCTGTTTTTAATCATTTCTATTCCTTGTTTTTTTATTTTATTTATGAAGCTAAGAAAAATGTTCATTTTAGTAGAAAATTAACATATGACACTTTTTTTTGCATTTGAACTCTTGTATTTTATGTTTGGTTTATTCTTGTTTACACATTGGTTGCACTTTGAGTATGAAATGTGCTATATAAATAACCTTGCCTGGTATTTATTTGGTACAATTAAGTCAACGTGAGGGAAAACTGATTTTGCATTGATGTTGGAAAACTATATTCATTTTTTAACAAAAGCACAGCAACAAAAACAAACTTGGCTTTCTTTTTTTACAATAACATAATTTTTTAAGTGACCTGTTGTGAACAAATTTTCATAACTGGTTATTCACACTTTATTAAAGTCATCTGCTTGCATTATTTATTTAAACTTACATTATAAATAATCATTTAATAGTTTTGGTGGGAAAGTGCATTACCCATGATTTTTAAGTCTCTGTTAATCAGAGAATCATGACAAGCAAATTTTGCTGTTTCAGTTATAATTGTAAATTATATATAAAATATTTATTACACATGTTGCCATCAATATAGCCTATACTGCTGATATGGCATTAGAACATACACAAATAAAAAAATGAAAAAACATAATATAAACAAAAGTATAACATAATCATACATAAATTAATTAATAAATAACTATATATATATATATATATATATATATATATATATATATATATATATATATATATATTACATAAACATAAATAATAAATAAATAAATTGATATAACATAGTATAAACATAAAAATGTAACATGAACAAATAAATTTATTAATTAATAAATAATCAATAAATACATATAACATATTATAAACATAAAAATAAAAAAATTAATGAATAATTAAATAAATGCATAGAAAATAGACTTAGCGTAACATAATATAAACATAAAAGTATAATATAATCATAAATAAATAAATACATAAAATATGAATATATAAATAGATTTAACATAATATAAAAAATAACATAAACCTAAATAATTAAATAAATAAATAACGAATAAATAAATGGATATAACATAATATAAACATAAAAATATAACATAAACAAATAAATAAATAATGGATAAACAAATATAACATATTATAAAAAACAATATTACATAAACATAAACAAATAAATGAATAAATGTAACGATATAAATAAAAATATGATAGATAGATAGATAGATAGATAGATAGATAGATAGATAGATAGATAGATAGATAGATAGATAGATAGATAGATAGATAGATAGATAGATAGATAGATAGATAGATAGATAGATAGATAGATTCATTCATTCATTCATTCATTCATTCATTCATTCTTGGACTCAATTACAGCTTCTTTGTTTTTTTTTTTGCAGATGGTTATGTCTCCTTCCAGAATGCCGCAAGCTCAAGCCATGATGGGAGGACATGCTAATAACATGGTGGGCCAGACACCCAACCAGAACCAGTTCATGAACCAGACACCGTTCCCAGCCTCGGCCGGGGGCATGAATGTGAATGTAAACCTGGCCCAGCAGTCAGGACAGACTGTCCAACAGGTAAGGAGTCACAAACTTCGGGCTTTCTTTTGGCGTAGTGCTACCAGTGTGTCAAAACATTTTAGTGCTGATAACACTGTGCAGTAGTGCCCATTTACTTTTTTTATTTTAATTTTTTTTTTATATATATTTTCCCCATTCATTTTGTACATAGGGGCAGATTTGTGTGTGTTCAGCATCAGTTAAGACAATGTTAGCACCTGTTTGCTTTAATTGTGGGAAAACTAAATAATTTTGAGCTGTTAGCTTATTTCAGCTTCCGGGTTTAAAATGATTTTTGGGGCGGGATCAAAATCGGCGCAAAACTGCAAGTGCAAAGATGAAGCATCAGTTTCTCATTATTCATAGCGGAGTTTTCTTATCTTATGAGAAGAGCCGGCTTCTTAATTATTCATGACTGCGCATGTAAAGTCTGCGGGATGGAATTTTCAGGTAACTGTTTGCCACATCTAGCACGAGAGCTTCTGTTTAATCCTTCATATCCACTTGTTAAGTGGTGACGTGTTTGTGACGTATGTAATACTGTTTCCGGGTCCAAGCCGCCATTCAATTGAGTGGAGAAATCATTCGTTTATGATCACTTTTTATTCCTATCACACATTAAAGTTACTTTTACATAAAGTCATAGTGTACACAACAATCTCTGGGCTTGCTACATAACAAATACCAACATTTTAACAATTTATAAAAAAATAATCACTTTCTGGCCATTGGATATTAGGCATGGACATATATACTGCGATCGTGACTTTCGAAAGTATTAAATCGCTTTGTAAACGTTTATCATTACCATTTCATGAATCTCCCCATACAGTTGAATAGAGCGCTTGGACCCGGAAGCCGCTCCGCCGACGTCACACTTAACAAGCGGAAAATTGCCAGATGCTGTCCGCTGGGCAAGTGGCAGCTATATGTCAAATTTAACACCACGTACACCATGGCAAACGGGCTTGCACTGAGTAAATTAATATCGCTACTCATGAAAAGACCGGTATTGCTATTAACATGACGTATGCAATATCAGTTCCCACCCGTGAGAACAGCATAGTTAGCTGTTCTCAGACACTAGCAGACACTAGTTCACTTTATTTTAATGATAAAATGGGATTTATTTGAAGAGTAAATAGTACAGTAAGCTATAATACCTAATCAAGTTTTTACCTATTTTCTATCACAGTTACAATTCTGCTTGCCAGAATGGCCAATAATTATTTGCTAGAAATGGCAACAGCCATGGGAAAGGAGAAAAGTTTTTGTAAAACTTTGGGAAAAACTCTGAGGGATAAGTTTGTTAAAACAAAAAAGAGGCCCCCAAAAACATCTTCAATGATAATGATTATCTTTTTATTCGTCTGATTTTACTTTCTGTTTTTTTGGACCGACCCCTGTCATTTAAAAAAATATATCTCAATGGTGAATGTGTCAAGTATAAAAGCCTTAATCTGTTTCGTCAGGGGTGCATTTAACCTGACTTTACTACTGTTCAATTTAAATAACTTTATTTTACCCCTAATTTTGTGCTTTTACATTTTCTCTCGCGTGTTTTTGATATTGCGATATAGGTCTTAAATTTAATACTTAATGATCTTTAAAAGGTCTTAAATTTGACATTATGATATCTGCAGAGACGCTGCTTTAATAATCAGTTCTTCTATGGGTAAAATGAATGGGATTTGTCCTTCCTCTTCTAAATGTATCCGCAGTAGTTTGGCTGTATCTGAGTGGCTCTGCGCTCCGTCTCTCCCCCTCTAGCAGCAGCAGCAGAACGCTAACCTGACCCTGAACGCTGTGGGCTCTCTGGGCCCGCCGTCCGCCCTGTGCTCCACCCCTCCTCCGCCCTCCGCCTCCACCCCGTCAGCCGCTGCCAGCCTGCAGTCACTCCAGACCCAGCCCTCCACGCCAGCCTCCGTCGGGGGCCACGTCACGCCCACCCACATCCCCAGCGGCCTGCCCCGTCCTCCCTCTGTCCTGGGCTCCTCCCCTGCCCCGTCCCAGCCGCACACACCCTTGCAGTCCCAGCCTGAGCCCCCCATGCAGATGCAGCAGCCCACCTCTGTGCAAGCGCAGCAGCCAAGCACTCCGGTGAGGATCGCCAGCAGAAACAGCTTTGAGGTTGTTATGCGATGATGCTTTTTAACTTATCTGCTGTGTGTTTGTGTGTGTGTGTGTGTGTGTGTTAGCTCTCTCAGATGGCTCCCAGTGTTGATAATAGAGTCCCCACGCCTGCTTCTGTGGCTGAGACACACTCCCAGCAGGCCTTGCCTGACTATCCTGCTGCCGAGCCCAAAATCGAGCATCAAGAAGACGAGCAGGAAGTGGAGTCTGGGAAAAAACGGCCCGATATTAAGATGGAGGTGTGTGTGACGGGGCTGAAGTGAAATTTACAGTCAGCCTACAAATGGTTTAGGAGTTCCTGACCTTATTTTGAATGCATTATATCAGTGTTTCTCAACCACGTTCCTTGAGGACCACAAGCACTGCATGTTTTGGATGTCTCCCTTGTCTGTCTGTGAATCAGGTGTGTTTGGTTAAGGAGACTGGAAAATGTGCAGAGCTGGTGCTCCTCTAGGAACATGGTTGAGAAACACTGTATTTGCAATGTATGTATTTAGTTTATGATTTTATTATGGTTACTTTTTCCAAATGTTATTATTTATAATTGAATTATTATTTTTTAAACATAATTTTTATTAATAGAACTAATTAAGAAACCATATTAGACCTCTTTAAAATATAATTATTTCATTACTTTTTTGTTTATTAGGAATTTATTATGATTACTTATTCCAAATTGTATTATTTCTAATAGGTTTATTATTTTTATTTATAATTATTATAGTAAATAACAAGAAATCTTATTCGAAAGTATTACATTACCTCTTTAAAATGAATTTATTAGATTTTTTTGTTTTGTTTATTATGATTATTTATTCCAAATTGTTTCTAATGGAGTTATTATTTTTTTATTTGTTAAATTATAATTAATATAACTTGATACTTAAACACTAATTTGAAAGTGTTACATTACCCCTTTGAAATATATTTGTTTTATTTTGTTTTTGTTTGTGATAATTATTTTATTGAGATTTCTTATTCTAAATGTCATTATTTCTAATTGAATTATTATTTTTTTATTCATAATTATATTCAATATTAATATAACAAAATAATAAGAAACTTAGGTTGATAGTATTACAGTACCCCTTTAAAATGTTTATTTTATTTTTGTTTATTATGATTTTTTTAAGATTACTTATTCCAAATTGAATTATTTCTAATTAAATTATAATTTTTATTCATAATTATTATTATTACTATAACTAAATAATAAGAAACCTTATTTAAAAACATGACATTACCCCATTAAAATGTAATGATTTTATGCTATTTTTGTTTAGGATTATGATTTTAATATGATTGATTATTCCAAATTGTATTATTTCAAATGGATTTTAATTTTTTAGTCATAATTATTATTAATATGACTACATAATAAGAAACCTTATTTAACAGTATTGCTGTACCCCTTTAAAATGTATTTATTTTATTTCATTTTTGTTTATTATGATTTTTTATGATTACTTTGATACCAAATTGTTATCATTTCTAATTGAATTGTTATTTTGAATTAATTAATAATAATATAAATAAGAAAGCTTATTTGAAAATGTCACATTGGCTCTTTAAAATGTAATTATTTTATGCTATTTTAGTTTGATTGTTTTTATTATGATTTTTCAAAATTTGTGTTATGTCTAATTAAATTATTATTTTTATTGATATTATTCATATAACTAACTTCATAATTGTTTTAAAAATGTTTTATTGCAGAAAATAGCAAAAATAAAAAATGTATCAACCAATTAACACAACTCAACAAAGAATGAATGACTTCATATGAACAAGATAATTAATGTAAAAAATCAGCTTTCACAATCAAAAATTGCTTATCCTTTTTTATCTATATATATTTGTTTTCTGTATCATCTCTTATTAAAATATGTCGTTGTTTTTGTCATATAATGTTTTTATGTATATTGATCTTGCCATGAAATAGCCATAAGTTTGGTAATTAATAAGCAAATAATCCAAAAACGGCAATATAAAAAATATATATATTTCAAACAGTAAGTATAAATGATAGTTTATTGTTGTTACTGCATTTTGATTTAAAAAGCCTCCTATTCTCACCAAGGCTGCATTTCTTTGAAGTAAAAGAAATTATCAAGCCTAAATACCATACTATGTTTGAATGATACTTTAGGTTGTCTATTATATATATATATATATATATATATATATATATATATATATTTTTTTTTTTTTATTCATTTATTTATTTTTTATTATTATTATTGGGTTTTTGTAATACTGCCTTTTTAGCTTTTTAAGAAAATTTTAGCGTACTAATGAAAATTAGTACATTAATTATAAAGGTAAAAATTAATTTAAAATTATAAAGGTATTAAAACAATGGCAAATTAATAGCAAGTGGTGTTGTCACGATACTGAAATTCGGTAACAATCTGTACTGAAGTTATATAAACGTTCATTTCCCGCTAACTTTTGAGCCTGTTCTTAAACAGCGGTGATTCATGTGCCATAGTGTTCATGTGCTCAACAGAAATGACTGTGATTGCCCGTGAACGTCATCAGTTCAGTGAACTCACCACTGTTTACTGAGTGTAACCACAGATACAGGGACACTGGAGTGTTTTAAAGATGCAAAGATAAGCTGGTCTTTTTATAAGCTGACATAAGAGCGGTCCGGTGATGAATCGACTGACCTTCACGGCTCAATGTTAGTGGGAAATGGATCTTTTTAAAATTCCAGTACTGATTGTTTTCAAATTCCAGTGACGTGACAACTCTAATAACAGGTGATACAAGTTATATGGATCAGATTTATATCAGCTTCCTTCAGAACTCCTCATCAATAATATGTAAACTTTTTTTATATATATTGTCATCATGTCGACTTGTACATGGGATATGATTTGAAAAAGTAACTTAAATGCCTTTTTTTTGTGCTAAATTTCAACTCACGGATGCTTTCAAAACCACACCAACTAACTGTGATCCTTATCATTCATTAGGATGAAGATGTCAAGCCTCCACAGGTGAAGGAGCAGCCGGAGACTGTAGAGCCCAAACAGGAACCGATGGAGACTGAGGACAAGAAACCGGAGACAAAGACTGAGCCGAAAGAAGAAGAAGTGTCCAGTACTAACAGCTCCACTCCAGCCAACCAGTCTGCTCAGTCACGAAAGAAAAGTAAAAGCTTAACCCTGAACTACATTTAACAGTATACAGTGGGGGAAATAAGTATTGAACACGTCCTGTTTTTTTTCCAGGGAATAATATTTCTAAAGGAGCTGTTGACATGGGTTTGAGCATTTGCTTGGGTGTGTTTTAGATCATTGTCTTGCTGAAATGTCCACTCTGGGTTCATCTTCATCATCCTGCTAATGTAGAGGTTGTACTGAAGCAGCTGATATTCATTAACACTGAGGAAGGGCGGAGGGATGCTGAAGAACTAAGAGATTTCAGCTGCTGTCTGGGCTTTCCATGTCTTTCTACACCTTCCTTTATTCATGTGTTCAATACATTTTCTCTGCGTCATTTCGTTTTATTATGCGTAACGTCATTTTGTTAACGAATTAATATTGTTTTCTTTGCATATATGTGGATTTCTTTGGTTGTTACAAATATCTGGTGATAATTCAAAGTCAACAGCACCTTTAGAATTATGTTTTTTAAGAAAAATGGTGACGTGTACAATACTTTTTTCCCCCACTGTATGTATAGATGACTTGATTAGCCATTTAACATCACAATTTGTTGCAGTTTTCAAACCGGAGGAGCTCAGACAAGCGCTAATGCCTACCTTGGAAGCTCTGTATCGCCAGGACCCAGAATCCTTGCCATTTCGCCAGCCAGTCGACCCAAATTTACTGGGCATCCCGGTAAATTCCACCACCTATATATCATTCAGCTAATATTTTGTGGATCTCTTTTTCAAAATAATGAAATGTATTAAATCGGTCTTGCTTTTTCAGGACTATTTTGACATTGTGAAGAACCCGATTGACCTTTCCACCATTAAGAGGAAGTTGGACACCGGGCAGTACCAGGAGCCCTGGCAGTACGTGGACGACATCTGGCTGATGTTCAACAACGCCTGGCTATACAACCGCAAAACATCGCGAGTATACAAGTACTGCTCTAAGCTGGCTGAGGTGTTTGAGCAGGAGATCGACCCGGTCATGCAGGGTCTGGGATACTGCTGTGGACGCAAGGTAAGATTCTCCATACAGGATAAAGTGGGTTAGCTTATAGCTGAAATGCTTCAAAATGAGCTCAAACACCTTGCTATCGAACTGTTTAGCGTTAAAGGGGACCTATTATGCAAACATTAATTTTCTAGGTGGTTTAAACACAGTCGTGTGGCAAAAAGTGTGTAAATATAAAAAAATATATATTATTAATTAATGAATTGTATTTTTTTTATAATCACACTCGATAAAAAAAAAGTTTGCCGAAACGCTTTGATTGACATTTGATTGTACATGTCATTAGAGGCTGAAGCCCCACCCATTATCGATGATCCCTCCCTCATTAGCATAGAACTAGTTTTGAATCAGACACTATGATGACACACGGGCATCTTTAGCTCCGCCCTCTTTTATAAAGAGCATAATCTCATTTGAATTTAAAGCAACAGTCACCAAAACAGCACAATTAGAATCAAAGCCTGAAAGGGTCAGTTTCAAAGAGTTATAAAACGTCATCTGTGCGGTATTTTTAGCTGAAAATTGACACTCTAGGGACATCGGAGACTTATTTTACATTTAAAAAGTGGCATAATGGGACTCTTAAGTTCATTAGTATTGTTTTTAAAGTAAAACTGTTCAAATGCATTTGGTAATTTGCAATAAAGATAACAATACATTGTAAATATTAGATTTGGGTGATATACCTACTGTATTTTGTGTGGCAACTAATAAGAATGATTTTTAGTACATGCTCTATTCAGTTAATATATAATTTAAATTGGCTATCTGAAAGTAATTATAATAATTTTTTAATTTACTCTTGTTTAAAACAAAACATTGGAGCATTCAAACAGTTAATTTTATAACAAATTTAAAAGAAATAAAACTTAAATAAAAATAAAACCACACTTGGCTTGATGTTCTTCATTATTACATTTTGAATAAACTGCAAAAGCATTTTGTTGTTTTTTAAATGCTTGTTTTTTTTTTAAAATAATTGAGGTAACAACATAAATATATGTAACATTTAAATGCTGATGTGCAACTCATAAAAATATGTTAGTTTGTCTTAAGCCCTGTTCAGATCACACGATTTTATTGTCTGTTCCGAAAGTCACGAATGTCAGATTTTTTTTTACATTTATTTATTAATTTTTTTTCCCTTTCTTGATAAAATCTTCACTTGTCTTGGGTAACAAATATGCCAGACTACACGTTTCTTCACAATCAATTACCCCTTGATGTCTACAACAAGCATTATTTCCCAAAGCAGTCACAAGTGTTGCTAGAACAATATTTATTATCTCAATTATTTTATTTTTTTTATCTTATGATGCTTGCAGACAACTAGGCCTTATAATTTAAGTGCAGTCATTAGAACATGGATAGGATCAAACTTATGATTCTTTTTTTAATATTAAGATATTTTCTTTGAAAACTAAATGTATGTTTTCCTGCCATGGGTTTCTTATTAAACACCCTCGCCTGAACTTGCCGCGAGTGAGACGGGAAAATGAAAGCAAATAAGCAGCAGCAAGGAAAAATCAGATGTTCAAGACAAAATCTTTTAAATAATGACATATTAAAAATTAACTAAAATATAATTCGTATATTTTTCTTGGAAAATATATCTTTTTGAAACTAATTTCGTTTGCTATGTTTTTTATCTTGATTTTAATGTATCTTTTGTTGCTCAGTTATCTATAAACAAGAATAAAGAATGACATTTAAGGTGAAGCTCTTCAAAACAAGTCCGCTATATGCACCAAAACACAAATTGTTGTGAGATTTGTGTTGCTTTGTTAAATAAAATAATAATCGAGCCTGAATAAAATGAAAGTGAAATATTCAGTTTCAGAGAAGCTTATATTAAACTGTTTTCACTATTAATGACAAATTTGAATAAGCAGGAAATGCTTTTGCAATGTATTAACAGCACTGAACATGTTCCCAGATTACCTTGAAAGAACAAATCCTGTTGGAATGATGAGAGAACTCAGAAACTCCTTGTTAGAATATAGATGTCTGCATATTTGTGCCAGTCTGTCAAATAAAATTGCTTTAACACCTTAATATTTAAGAAAATGTAGCTAAAGTTTGCACAACCAATGATTGATCTCATCCACGTATTGATGGATTTGATTTAGAAATAAAGATCAATTGAATAGAATCGACCCATGACCCACCCATAACTGAGATATTATGTGCTCTTATTGCACAGTGTCATCCACATGATGGAACTCATCATGAAGAATGAGAAAAAGTTCAGTGTGTCCGTGGAGTCTTAAAAAGTATTAAAAATTTATGAATCTATGGCCTTTAAAATGTGTTAAAGTCTTAGTCGCGTTTTTACAAGGTCTTAAGTTTTGTTCTGTTTGTTAATCATATCCTCCTAATATAAGCATCGACATTCTTGATCCACGTGTTTTGTTTGGGCCGGGGCACATTTGGTCAAGCTCCTTCGTCAGCATGATGTCACGTAATTTGAGACAAACGCAGGAAGGTGATGTGACGCTCTCCACATGTAGTGAAACTATAGAGCGAAACTGGCAACAAAATGGTAGGTTTGCGTACTTCTGGTTGACGAAAGACGAGTTTAAATAGTGGCTGAAGCCTGTCGCTGAAAGCAACCGCGTAATTTATTCTTTGTTTTTTCCAAGCTTATCTGAGTTCTGTTGCATGGTTGTGCTCCATTGATTTATTTAACCACAACTGTTTACTAAGTTAAAGGATACTGATTAGAACTTGTGGCGATGAGGTCTTAAAATATGATGAGAAGGTCTTTAAAAAGTCTTAAAAAGGTATTGAAATTACCTTTAGGATTCCTGCATATACCCTGAAATTAAACATGCTAGACTTTCTGCGATGGTGTCGTGAGGCATCGCATGCATGGTATCGGTTGTTGTGAACTATGCCACATTACTCAAGAAGAAACGATTGAATCTTGTGTCACGACGCCCATTTGTCATTTACGAATCCCCATGACACCCTACGTCAAAGAAATCGTGCCAAAATTGTGCAATCTGACTGGGGCTTGAGTATATTTTAGGAAAAATTTACATTTTCTTAACATAACATAATAAATAAACTAAAAGTGTGAAAGTACTTCTATTAATATTCAGTAATATGGCAATATTTGTATTTAACAGAATTGCTTTTTCTTTGTCTTCACAGTATGAGTTTTCACCTCAGACGCTTTGCTGCTATGGCAAACAGCTCTGTACAATCTCCCGGGACGGCACATATTACAGCTACCAAAACAGGTAACCAACAGCATGATCAGTGGTGTGAGAAATGGAGAAGAATGAGTTACTAATGGGACGATGATGCACAGAGATCAGGCTTGTGATGTTGAGCACTCAATTGACTTCATGTTGTTTACACCTTATAAACAGAGTCATAAAACGAGTTCAAAGGTTGTATTTTTTGCTTATGTGTGAATCAGCCGCTTTGGGATTTGAATCTTTAATGTACAAGCCTAGATTTGTACCCGCAGGGCTGCTTTTCCTTTTAGTGTGTTTGTAAATACTGAAAACATTATCAGAAATCATAATATTAAGAAATAATAATCAAAATATTGGTAGCCTGGAGAAGTTCTGATGCATCACTTTTCCATAAACTGACATCACATTGTCTGTTTTTGTCTGTTGTGTGTTTATACTTTCATCTTAAAGCCCCAGTATATTCACAGAAAAGTTGTTTTTGTTCTTAATTCAATAACTTTAGTTGGGATTTAGCATCCCAACACTGCCCAAATTGTGGAGAGCTGCATTTAGATAAAAGATGGGGTGTATGTTTTCTTACTAACAACAACAGAAATGATTACATTGATTAAACATCTGTTAAAGGGTCTTTTCACCCAAAAATGAAAGTTCTGCAATCATTTACTCATCCACCACTTGTGTTTAGTTCAACACAATTGAAGACAAGCTGAAGAATGTTGGAAAGCAGCAGCCATTGACATCCATTGTTAGCCATGGATGTCAATAGCTGCTGCTTTTCAACATTCTGATATAGGGCTGGGCCATAAAAACCGTATCGTGTTTATTGACTGAACACCGTTTTGTTCGAACCCAAAGGTTTGGTTGGAAGTTTTGGTATGAATTCCTATAGTTTTATTAAAATGTGGCTGCTGAGCACACGTCTTGGAAGAAATGGCTGCATTTACACCAGACGCAGATGAATGGTCAAGCGTCAGTCATTTACATGTTAAGTCAATGCGAAGACGCAAGTAGACATCCTTCAACGCTATTAAACACGTTGAACTGTTGTCCGATGAACTGTTGTTTGGTGTCGGCAAGAGGATTTCCCCTCTGGACACCAACAGCAAGCACTATGTCATATTCACACCCCTATAAGAGCAAGCTCAACACTCAACTCGCGCCGCTTCATTCGTGCAAATCACGTCATTCACGCCACCTCATTCTCACAAATGAAGTGACGCGAGTTAAGCGTTTCGCTCGAATCGCTTAAGTTGGAAAATCTGTACTTAAGCGTACATTCGCACCACGTAAACCAATTAGGAGCTTGCTCTTGTAGGGGCATGATTGTGACGTAGTGCCTGTTGTTGGTGTCCCGAGGGGAAATCCTCCTGCCGACAACAGCTCGTCAAACACAGTTCGGCTCAGTCTGAAGTACCCCTGAAAGCCTCCATCATCTAGGTATAGTTTCTGGAGGAGTTGATGAACTCACAGAGCTGGATGCACCTCTGAAATCAGGTTTTAGTGGTCTCAAATATGACCACGAACGAATTTACGTTGTTTATCAGTCTTTTTAAAGCACAGCTACTCTCTCAATAAAACCCATGTTAGCTAGCTAGAGTCACCAGGCAGACAGAAGCCCTGCCCATGACCCGAATACTTGGCTATTGTGAAGTAAATTTGTTGCACAAATGAAGCAAGTAAACTCAAAATGTTTTGCTTCCATTTACGTGCGAATATCGTGATTTATCTGCACGTTCCGCTTTTGGTGTGAACACAGCATTTGGGTGTGAGCAGGGCTAACACATCCATGGAGGCAACTTAGCCTAGGGTGGCAGAATAGTGAGGGTGGCCTCTGCGTTTTTCCACTCCCAACCCACCTCTTTCACCAAGTCAACCCCACTCCGGTCTACACTTTTGTCATCGAAACTTTTCAGAGGATTATAAACTGCTGCTCAAGTGAATGCTTACAAGATAATAAGTGTTGCTATTTAAAATTTTTATTATTATTATTTATATGTCATTCATTTGTGAGTTTTAATGTTATCCTGTGCTCTGCCCTGGCCCGTCAGTTATGTGTCATGCTTTGTTCTGCGCTCTCATTCTGCGTTGTGTGCTTTAACTCCAGTTCACCCAAATCTGGTCTTGTTGCCTGCAGGTATCACTTCTGCGAGAAGTGCTTCAATGAGATTCAGGGCGACAGTGTCACTCTGGGGGACGACCCGACCCAGTCGCAGACGTATGTATCATCTGCTGCCCAGAAGTCTTTGAGGTTTTTCTTGCTAAGCTGCAGTTTTTTTATCCTAAAAATTGAGCTGTAAATGTGTGAAGATGTAGGATTCATCTTGCGCATCTCTTTTTGCAGTATGATATCAAAGGAGCAGTTTGAGAAGAAGAAAAACGACACGTTGGACTCTGAACCGTAAGTCCTGCCATTTTGATTTTCATCAAATACATTGTATAGAATGGAGAAGACATAAACATAAATGTTTTCCTCTTTCTGAATTTGTTCAGCTTTGTTGAATGTAAAGACTGTGGCCGGAAGATGCATCAAATCTGCGTACTACATTATGACGTCATCTGGCCATCAGGGTGAGAATCTTTACCCCATATCCTCCTATAGTTTAGCATAGCAAGACATGATCTCTACAAATGCTGCTCGTCTCTTCCTTTTTTAACAGTTTCATCTGTGACAACTGCCTGAAGAAGTCAGGAAAATCAAGAAAGGAGAACAAGTTTTCTGCTAAAAGTGAGTGCTTTTCAAGCGTCTTTCTGCATTTCTCTCCAAAAGTCTGAAAGTCTACTGCAACTCGATGTCACCCTCTGTGTGTTTATGATCAGAATTACAGTGCACGAGGCTGGGCTCATACATTGAGGACCGAGTGAATAAGTACTTGAAGAGGCAGAATCACCCAGAGGCCGGAGAGGTGTTCGTACGGGTGGTCGCCAGCTCTGATAAGACCGTTGAGGTCAAACCTGGCATGAAATCGAGGTAACCTCACAGATTGTACATATGAATCCGGTGCTGGATTTGTAGTTCTTCTGATAAAGCTGTTCACAAATGATTGGCGTGTACCTAAAATGTGAGGATTTCGCTGATTTGGCATCATTTCTGCACAGGTTTGTTGACTCAGGAGAGATGTCGGAAAGCTTTCCCTACAGAACCAAAGCACTTTTTGCATTTGAGGAGATTGATGGAGTGGATGTGTGTTTCTTCGGCATGCACGTCCAGGAATATGGATCTGATTGTCCCTTTCCTAACACCAGGTAACGTGAAGTTACTGATCATTTAAGGGGAAACGATGAGTAATGAGCAGGCTGAATTTACTTATTTTGTCCTCTTTTTTTTTTTTCCCCTTTAAAACTTTCCAGGCGGGTATACATATCATATCTTGACAGTATTCACTTCTTTAAACCTCGATTGCTAAGAACTGCGGTTTACCATGAAATCCTCATCGGCTATTTGGAGTATGTTAAGAAACTTGGGTAAGTAAATAACCTATATCGTTAACCATAATTTGGATCATGTCGGGTTTTTTCTTTGGTGTAGCTACATCACAGATTATAATGACCTCTTTGAATGACATTCATAAGCAGTCTATCCAACTAAATGGAGACAAAGAAAGTCCTCACCATAACCATCGAGTAACTCAAGGAGTATATGTGCTGATTCATTTGATTTTTCCCATCTACAGATATGTGACTGGTCATATCTGGGCCTGTCCACCTAGTGAAGGTGATGACTACATTTTCCACTGTCACCCTCCTGATCAGAAGATTCCCAAGCCTAAAAGACTCCAAGAGTGGTACCGCAAAATGCTCGACAAAGCCTTTGCAGAAAGAATCATTCACGACTACAAGGTATGCCAGCGCTAAATAGGTTTCATTCATAATGATTTAACATCACACTATCGCAGTAATGATTCACAAACGGACTCACTTGCGTTATGCAGGACATATTTAAGCAGGCCACGGAGGACCGACTTACAAGTGCCTACGAGCTGCCCTATTTCGAGGGTGATTTTTGGCCCAATGTTCTGGAGGAAAGCATCAAAGAGCTGGAGCAGGAGGAGGAGGAGAGGAAGAAGGAGGAGAATACAGCCTCCTCTGAGACAACAGAGGTTAGTCAGAGAGCCAAATAGTGTGAATGAGTCTTTAGCGTAGTCTGTGGCCATTTATTTAAATGTCTGTCTTATCCGCAGGGAGCCCAAGCTGACAGCAAGAACGCCAAAAAGAAGAACAATAAAAAGACCAACAAAAATAAAAGCAGTGTGAGCCGCGCCAACAAAAAGAAACCTGGGATGCCGAATGTAGCTAATGATCTGTCCCAGAAGCTATATGCAACGATGGAGAAGCACAAAGAGGTTGGACATGAATCATCGACTATTTGTTTTGTACCTGAACATCTGAATCGCTCAGAATTTTAACGAGGGCTATGTATTGACTGGAACTTCTCTTGCTTCCTAAAATCCAGGTCTTCTTCGTGATCCACCTGCATGCTGGTCCAGTGGTCAATACCCTGCCTCCGATCATGGACCCTGACCCTCTGTTGACCTGCGATCTGATGGACGGCCGCGATGCCTTCCTGACCCTGGCCAGGGACAAGCACTGGGAATTCAGCTCTCTTCGCCGCTGCAAATGGAGCACTATGTGTATGCTAGTGGAGCTGCACAATCAGGGCCAAGACCGATTTGTGTACACTTGCAACGAATGCAAGCACCATGTAGAGACACGCTGGCATTGCACCGTTTGCGAGGTTAGTATCTGTTTTGTGGGTTTGACGGCACAATTGTGAGTTACTGTTGCCATAGCTTGCTCAGCGATAGGTTTTTAGTACAAATGATTGTCACTGTATGGTTATCTTAAGTTCAGGGTCAGTTTTATGTGCTATTATTGTCCAGAAAACTGTATTAATTCTTTTGCCTTCTTTCAGGACTTTGATCTATGCATTAACTGCTACAACTCCAAGGGTCATGAGCACCAAATGGTTAAGTGGGGTTTGGGTCTGGACGACGACAGCAACAACCAGGGCGGCGAGGCCAACAAGAGCCCACAGGAGAGTCGACGCCTCAGCATCCAGCGCTGCATCCAGTCCTTGGTGCATGCCTGTCAGTGCCGCAATGCCAACTGCTCTCTACCATCTTGTCAGAAGATGAAGAGAGTGGTTCAGCACACCAAGGGCTGCAAGCGCAAGACAAACGGAGGCTGCCCTGTTTGCAAGCAACTCATTGCGTTGTGCTGCTACCATGCCAAGCACTGCCAGGAGAACAAGTGTCCTGTACCCTTCTGTCTCAATATCAAGCACAAGCTGCGGCAGCAGCAGATTCAGCAGCGACTGCAGCAGGCGCAAATGATGCGGCGGCGTATGGCACTCATGCAGGGCAGAGGAATGCCTCCGAGCTTGCCCTCCCCAACTACCTCAGGAGGTCCCGGGACGCCCAACTCTCAGCAGTTGCAGCAGCCTAATACTCCTCAGACCTCGCAGGCATTAGCCAACCAGCCCCAGCAGACGCATCCGAATGTGGCTGCAATGGTGCAAGCCTTCCCTAACCAACCCCCTACACCAGGGTCGCAAGGTAAACCAGGGCCGCAGTCCTCTCCTTTGCCCCAACAGCAGTCTCCACTACCCATACCGCCCCAACAACAGCCGCAGCCCTCTCCGCAACAGCAGGCTTTAAAGGTTGCAAAACAAATAGAGATGATGACCAAAGTTAAGCAGCAGCAGCAGCAGCAGCAGCAACAACAACAACAACAACAACAGCAGCAGCAGCAGCAGCAACAACAGCAGCAGCAGCAAGACTACAGAATGAGCATGAATGGCATGCCAATGAACCAGCCTCGCATGATGACTTCCATGCAGATGATGGGCCCTCGTGGTCCGCAGATGGTTCAGAACATGCAGCAGGGTCAGTGGGCACCTGGGATGGCAATGCAAAACCCACAGGGGCCTCCTCCACAGCAGGTGCCCCAGCAGCAGATGGCCATGGCGCAACAGCAGTCTCAGGTAGCGCAGACGCCCCAACAGGCGCAAATGATTCAGCGCGCCCTGATGCAGCAGCAGCAGCAACAGCAGCAGCAACCGCGTCAAATTCAGGCCGTCATGCCTCCCCAGCAGGTGCAACCCCAGGCCCCGCAGCAACAAGGCATGCAGCAAAGAGGTGTAACCAGCAACATTACTCCCGGAGCGCTGCAGGACCTGCTGCGAACATTAAAATCACCAAGTTCCCCTCAGCAGCAACAGCAGGTTCTTAACATCCTCAAGTCAAACCCACATCTCATGGCTGCGTTCATCAAACAGCGGACGGCAAAATACCAGGCCAATCAACCACAGCAGCAGCAGAACCCGCAGGCCATGCTCGCTAGTCAGCAGGGAATGCAGAACATGGCTGCAATGCAACCCGGTTCCGTCCAGAGACCTGTTATGCCCCCTCAGCAGCAGCCGCAGCCTCAGCCTGCTGCAACCCAAGCTATGGCTGCCCTCGGATCCCAGGGACAAATGATGAACGCTGCACATAATGGAAATCAGCAGCTGTTCCGCCGGCAGTTATTGCGTCAGATGCAGCAGCAGCAGCAGCATCAACAACAACAGGGAGCCATGCCTCCTGGTCAGGGGAGATTCCCGCAACCCCAAGGAGCAGCAAGTTATTCGCAAATCCGCGTGCAGCAGCAGATGGCCATGCAGGGTGGCGCAGGACCGATGGGCCAGATGCCGCCTATGGCTCAGATGGGCCAGCCTGGCATGGGCTTGGATGCCCAGCAGCAGCAGAATTTGATGCAGCAGCGCATGCTGCAGCAGCAGCAACAACAGCAGCAGCAGATGATGAAGCAGCAAATGGGCTCGCCGGCACAAGCCGCTTCCATGAGTCCCCAACCCCACATGCTTGGGGGACAGCCGCAGGGAGCTCACATGCCCGGACAGGCCATGGCCAATGCGCTGGGTAACCAAGTGAGGTCGCCTGCGCCTGTGCAATCACCCCGTCCCCCGTCCCAACAACCGCCACATTCCAGCCCGTCTCCACGCATGCAGCCCCAGCCTTCGCCCCTACACCCCGGATCCTCCCATCCCAGCCTGGCAGGACCCATGCCGGGCCCAATGGACCAGGCGCACATGTGCACGGCTGAACAGAGTGCAATGCTTCCGCAGCTGAACACACCAAACCGTGGAGGGCTCACCAACGACTTGAATATGGACACCACGGGAGACACGTTAGAGAAGTTTGTGGAGGGATTGTAGCATTAAGAGACTTCATTCTTTGAGCAGAGAGATGTGCTGTGTACACAGGAATTAGAGAAGGTGGCGAAAATGATGAACTATAAAAGGTTTACACAACCAATGGACTGCTTTTTTCTTCCTTGTTGGAGGGGTTGAAATTACTGTTTAACGAGCAGAATCACAAAGGGTTTGTTTGTGGGGGAGGGGTTGTCGGACTGGCAGATATTCAGTCCTGGTCTTTGAGTTACATTTTTAATTGTTTTGTTTTTTTCGGGGAGGGGGTTATTTTGAGCTTATGGACTTTTTAAATGGAATTTCTCAAGGCAAAAGATTTGATTTTATTATTGAAGACTTTCGTTTTGTATGTTTGCAAACTGAAATGCATTTTTTTTGTGAGTGTGTGTGCGTGTTTAGGGACTGTAAGATACTTGGTGTGGAATTAGGATCAAGCTCAATCCTCATTCCTGTCTGATGCGTATTCACATTAGCAGATTCGGAAAAGGACGCGCCGCCTTTTTCTCTCCAAACTGTGGAGTTTGTACAGAGGACCTGTATTCATTTGTACAGAAAGGAGCTTGGCTACTGCACACACGCACACACACACGAACACGCGAGCAAATGGTAAAGTTGCTCTTATTTTTCAAGGTGCCCAAATGCGTTAATTTATTGGCCTGGATTCAGTAGTTGTCTCTTAAGATGTAGGAAAGATGTTCCTGTTTTCTCGTTTGATCTCTAAAACATCAATGATGTCCCCTCCACCTCGCGTATGAGGCCGGAGCTTCGTCTGACTGCTGATTTGTTCAAAGAGTTCTTCAGTCAACCTCTTTTTCTTTTCTCCTCATGAAACTTGAAGGTGAACGATTCTTTAATGTAAATCATGCAGCTTGATGACATACTGTAAATAAAAGGAAAAAAGATTGAGATCGCTGTATAAACTGATTAAGAACTCGTTTCGTACTTATATACCATATTGTTAAATAAACTGTGTGCAACAGATAACGACGTTTCAGGTCGCTTTGTTTTGCTTAATCGCAGCATTCGAAATTTACATTGGCTTTATGGATTGATATTTAAACTGTGTGTATAACCATTTTCTGTCCAATTACGGGCTGTACAGGACTGTTCTGTAGTTGAGCAGCATCATTATGGTGGCTTGAGAAAGCTAACATACTGTCATACTACATAAACTTAATATTCCGTCATCTTCTATTTTAAGAATGCATCTCCTCCTAGACCATTCATACTACAAGTACCTAACTAACTCCGAACTAAACTGAATTAAGTTGCTATATCTTCTCCAACTGATCCGACTTATGGTTTTCTGAAAACTGGCCCGGAAAATTCTGAAAAGTCCCATTGACTAAACAATTTTGTGACCTCGTAACTTTACACCAGACTGTTATACAGACTTACATTTGGGCTCGTTTAACTCAGACTAGCTAACTGCCAATTACTGATGACCTTTCAACTTACTAGCCACACCCTAGCAACCATATACGGCACACTAGCGACTGTCTCTTAGACTTTCATTGTAAAAACTGTCATTGACTTCACATTAGACATACTAACAACATAGCAAGTCATACTAACAATACACTGTTCCATACTAGAAACATACTAACAGCATACCAATTCATACTAGAAACATACCAGACCATACTAGAAACATACAACATACCAATTCATACTAGAAACATAACAACAAACCAATGCATACTAGAAACATACTAATGACATACATACCAATTCCTACGAAAAAACATATTAACAACACACCAATTCATACAAGAAAAATACCAAAAACATACTAGAAACATACTAAGGACATACTAACATGCCAACCCATACTAGAAACACACCAGACCATACTAGAAACATACAACATACCAATTCATACTAGAAACGTAATAGCAACAAACCAATGCATACTAGAAACATACTAATGACATACATACCAATTCCTACGAGAAACATGCTAACAACACACCAATTCATACAAGAAAAATACCAAAACATACTAGAAACATACTAAGGACATACTAACATGCCAACCCATACTAGAAACATACCAAACCATACAAGAAACATACTAACAACTTACCAATTCATACTAGAAACATACTAACATACCAATTCATACTAGAAACATACTAAGGACATACTAACTTGCCAATCCATACTAACAAAATACCAACATAGCAAACCATACTAGAAACATCCAAATCCATACAAGAAACATTCCAATCTATACTAGAAACATATTAACGACATACCAATTCATACTTGAAACATACTTATGATATACTAACATGCCAATCCATACTACAAACATACAAATCCATATTAGAAACATGCTTTTATGTATTTTTCTCTCTATGCCAACTGTTTCAAAATTCTTAAAACTACTTTAATTATTTAAACTTTAAAGCTACAAACTTTCAGACTAGGCTTTCTCCAGCCACCATAACGTTTGTCTACGAACTTTACTTTTCTAGTTTTATATATTATCAAATCTACAATTGAGCATTCTGAATGGACTTTAAAGGTAAGATTGAAGATTTTAAGGTAAGATTTTTCGCCTTATTTGCCACATTTGACTATATAATTCACAGTTAAATGGTAATACGGAAGTGTTTGTGCAAAAAAGAAATGTTTGTATGGGCACACACAAGTGGTGTTTTACTGAATGTACTAAAATTAACTTGTTTACCACCTTCACTGCAATTCAAAAGTGTTGTTGCTTTTTTCATAAGGTTTGAAATAATAATTGTGTTTCGGATGAGACGATAAACCGAGATCCCGACTCTCTGTGGCTGTAAAAAATTCCAGGATGTCCTTCAAAAAAAAAAAAAAAAAAAAAAAGTAGAGGTTTAACCCTGGCATTCAAATTTGCCCACTGGCCTCTGTCCATCATGGCCTCCTAACCATCCCCATACCATAATTGGCTTCATCACTCTGTATACCAATGTAGTGCACTGGTGGTGGATGAGGAGATTCCCTCAAAAATGTGTAAAGCGATTCGAGTGTCCAGAAAAGCGCTATATAAATGTAAGGAATTGTTGTGTAATTAATTAGATGTAATTACATGATTTTCCCCTCACCAAACTCACTAGAGTATTGATCTGACTTTCAACACTGTGATTGGGATGTAGTCAGTCACTTTTCGGCCACTGATTGTAAATATGCTATAATGTTTTGTACAATGGTCAAGACAAAAAAAAAAGCCTTATTTTTACTTTAGTTTCTTACAATGAGAGGAACAGACTGTCCATATTTATATATAGCTTTACCACATTTTAAAGAACTGGTCAAGCATTGCTGGACTAAGATAAAACTGTTCAAATCAAACGAGTAAAGACGGCTGTCAGTACTCGATGCTGAGCCATTGTGTCTACAAATTGTTACCTCATGTGCGTTCTTTTGCACACTGACAGTGGTTGGAGAGGAGGCAGAAGATGAGAAACTAAGGTATGTGACTTTACATGTACTCACGTTTTGGGGTGGTAACTGCGTTTGTGAGAGAGAGAGAGAGAGAGAGAGAGAGAGAGAGAGAGAGAGTGTGTGTGCACTATTTGAATGCTGCAGTGCTAATGGAGTTTCTCGTGTTCCATAAAGAATAGCACATATGAATGTGATTCGCGTCACTTTTAGAAGTTTTGCCGTCAGATGTAGAGCACTGCAAACAAATGATGCAGTGTTGGTGGCCCTTTACTCTTGCCAAATAATTGGGTTTTAGGATTTAACCTCCACGCTGTAGTTCCTGGCTCATTTTACATATTTATCGCGGTGATGTTTCTCGACGTGTTTTTCTGTCACGCGAGTGTTTGTTTGGATGCGTGTTTGTTTTGCCAACGGTTCGTTTCGAGAGCTGTTGTTAGGCTATGTTGTAAAATGGGCTCATCTATCTATCTATCTATCTATCTATCTATCTATCTATCTATCTATCTATCTATCTATCTATCTATCTATCTATCTATCGTTCTGTAGTTCTATCGTTCTGTAGTTCTGTCTGTCGTTCTATATCTGTCTGTCCATCCTTCCATTTATCTCGTTCTATATCTATCTATCCATCTATCCATCCATCTATCTATCTATCTATCTATCTATCTATCTATCTATCTATCTATCTATCTATCTATCTATCTATCGTTCTGTAGTTCTGTCATTCTATATCTGTCTGTATATCATCTATCTGCCTGCCTGCCTGTCTGTCTGTCTGTCTGTCGTTCTATTTATCTATCGTTCTATTTATATGTCATTGTCTATTTGCTGTTCGTCTGTCATTTGCAAATTATTTGTAATAGGCAAATGTTGTCATGTTTTTACCACAGACTAACACATTTTTCAACAACATCATAAAACAAATAAATTATTTTTGACCATTTATATACCATTTTTAAACACACCAAAAAAATTAAGTAGCAGTGAGAAATGTCATGTGAAAGTGTAAACAACATGCAATCTAACACGATTTGAGAATGACCAAGATGAATCCAATTGAAATTAATAGTTTAATTTAAACTTAATGTGTAATCGCTTACAAATTGTTCCAGTATATTAAACATCCATATTTCTATAAACTTGTGATGTTTCCAGACTAAATTAATTTCACTTGCATTTCTGAAGGGCTTTTTTTGACATGGGATGAATGTTCAAAATGTGACTATAATTTACAGTTTTTCTCAGTGGCTTTGGTGCATTTCTCACACTATTTACATTTGCACAACAGTTAATGCATTTCTCAAAACAATTAGTGCAAACTGCAAAACCTAGCTGATAACCTGCAAAAGCGTGTCAATTGCTTAAAATGGATAGTTCATTCCTCAAAAGCAAGTATTGATGTCAGTGAAAGTGTCGGTGTTCTGCCTCCATTGTTTATGAACAAGATAGTCAAATGGCTGTCATGTTTTTATTATGACAGGTTACTCTGTAAGTGTTTTCCAATGCAGGAAAGCCAGATTTTGGTGACACTTGCTGAAAATAATCAAGACAGCACTGACTATTAGTTTTATATGGAATGACTATTCAGCATTCACAAGTTTAGTTAGCTTTGACTGACATGACATAAGCAAATGATAATGTTAATAAGGAAAGCAATTGATGCATGTCCAAAAGCGTTTGCAATTTGTTGGAAGGAATGAGAAACTGCTACTATGATGTGCACAAATTTCTAACTGTTTTGAGAAATGCATGAACTGTTGTGCAAATGCAAATAGTGTTGTGAGAAATGCACCAAAGCCACTGAGAAAAACTAATATTTCTGAAGATTTTGACCTGAAGAGGCTCCATCTGAACAGAAAAGGTGTAGCAATCGCTTCAGTGGTTTTGCTCTATTGTGTATTTCTTTTCAAACCTAAATGTGTTTCGAGGATTTAAAAGAAGTTACTTGTTTAAAAACCCAAGTGGTCACTTTGTCTCTCTTATCCTTTAGTTCTTCCCAGAGTTCACTGTAAAAATGCTGGCTTCCTCACAATTCCTCCATGTTGTACTATGTTTTTTTTTTTTTTTTTTTTTTTACAAATTTAAGCCGATTTACTTAACAATTAAGTTGTCCCAAAAGAATCTCAGGAATTGTGTGGATTCAGCTCATTTTATTTATTTTTTTTTTATTGCATTTTTAAAAATTAGTTGTATAAACAGTACTGAGTAGAACATGAACAGTATACAGTATTTTTAAGGGAAAAAGAGAGAATAGAAAAAATAAATAAAAATTAAAAGATTTATTCATTTATTTTCTTTTCGGCTAAGTCCCTTTAAGATTAAAAAAATATCTAAAAAACAGCAGTGTGGTCTAATTATAAACAATATTGCAATATTGTGGTGTGTACAATTAAGGATACATAGTAGACTTAAAATCAATGCCATGACAGGTCAAAGGAGTTTCCCACAGCTTCTGGAATGACTCTGATTTGATTGAGATCAGTTTAAATGCATTGAACAAGCAGCGAATGTCATTTTTTGAGTGTTGCTTCTTGTGCTTTCCATGTTCTGCATGCATG